ATTTGAAATATTTGATTTTGCACTCATTAAATTTAATAGGAAATATAATAGCGAGATAAATATTTTTTTATTTCTATAAAATAATCAACAGTCAATCTCCTTATTATGGTGAAGAATGAGGTAAAAAAGTATATTAAATAACAGCCTTTTTATATATTAATATGTTTTATAATAATAATGATGATATTTAAAAATATTCTATCTATTTATTTCTTAATATAAATAAAAGAAGCTTCTGGAATGTTGTTAATTTACGCTTTGTTACTTTCCAACGATACATATTAGATTGTATCATATTATAAATTACTTAAAATATTTATCGTATGCGATAAATTATTGCGAGTGTCATTTCCTTATATCGCAGTGCTATCAGGATTATAGATTACTACACAAAGGGACGACGTCTGATAATTCGTTAGAGAATTATATTATCGTGATAAATATTCAAGTTATATACATATTTTAATATTTCTATTAAATTTCTTACGAAAAAATTACCGCCATTTTTACGCGGGAATGTTGGTATAGTGTTGCCAACCTAATAATAATTGCGTAACTTTTTTTTTATAAGTCATTAACCGAAACATAAGCCAACGCGTTGAGATAAACAAGAGTTTCTTATCTGCCATTGAACTTTTAATGCAAAGGGAAAGAGTGACCTACATAAAAACGCATATAAGGCGCTTTACACACTATACGACAATTAATAATATTGTTTTGGAATAAACATTATACTGTTTTTAGAACTAAATACCTATTTGTTTGATAAAATAATATCTATTAATGTGAACAGAGCCTATATTTAGATCGACTCGTTTGTATACAGGAAGAAGTAATCATTATACGAACGATTTATTTACGTTTTGTTACTAACCTAATTACAAGATCGACAGTTGAGTGCGCTTTCATGACGCAAACGAATTATTGACACAAATAAAAATTACGATTTGAAATTAATCTGATTGTATATAATACGAAAAATATTGTTATTTTTAATTATTATCGTTAAATTAAGTAAATGAAATTGCATTAATTTGTTCTGTCTAACTATCCATTTTTTTTCATATAATCTGTGAGTAATGACCAATTATTTCAAGACATTAGCCGATTATGAATAATCCCATTCTTTTTCTTATTAACAAGCTTTTTGTTGTCTACGTGCGTATGAGATAGAGAGTAATTGAATCAGTATGAATCCCAAGCAGTGCTCACGTTGACACAATCTAATTACAGTACTAATAACTAGATATTTTAAAACATATTCTTAGAAATAACTGACACCTAGAATTGGAATGTCACTTTGACATTAATACCTTTTCTACTTATATTTGGTTAGGATTTATGTTTGACTGAAATTTAACTAGGATAATATTGAAATTTTCAATATAAAATACATTTTTTTTAAATTACTGAATAGTAATTTTGTCTAGAGAAAGTCCAGATGATTGTTTATCGCTTTATTTAAGCAAAAATTATGATATCGTTAATAAGAAATTGCATATTATTATTATTTTATGAATATTACTCATCCGAGTTAGTCACACATGTTTAAACTACATAGTGATTATTTAAAGTTAAAAATCGTTAATAACTAAATACTATCACAAATTTGACAAATATTATCTAAGTACTTAGTTATTTTCTTATACGATAGTTTGCTATATGAATGAAGATATAAATAACATAAGTGTAAGCTAATTTCGTTAATATAACTGTTATAACGGAAACGAACAGAGGTCGACAGAAACAGAAACTTATAAAAAAGTATGAAAAACTGCGCGTGATTCACAAACATGGCGCCTCAACATGGCCGCGGGGGATTGCACTCATACGAGGCTACGTGACGCTTTGCACGAGTATATTCGCAATACACATCAATCTTTATTGTTATAATTATTAATTTCTTTAAAATTGTGTCACACGAGATACGCCCATGTTTCGAGATAAAGGAAAATACACAAAACGTGTTATATATCAGATTTACGTGAAGTACATACACATTGCGAGTTTAAAGTTTTTAGTTTTCAGAACACTATTTGAATAATATTACTAGTAATTTCGTAGTGTATTGTATATAATATGAAAGTATTTAGACTGTATGGACTTCTACAACAGATGTTTCATAAACAATAGTAGGGTTCATCCAGTACAATATTATCTTAAACATTAGTTTATTATATGAATGCTACTATACAGAAAAAGAAATAAAATTTTATTATAAAAAATATACAATGCACTTGAGAAAGATATATTACCTATATACTTTCTTTGTTTCTATATATTTAATGCAACGATTTTAATAAATATATCTTAGAAGTCTGTAAAAAGGAATTTAATGTATTTTACACATGATTTTGTTCGATTTTTAAAATACAACTCGGATGAGTTTGTTCGATTTTTAAAATACTCGTCTTATCTATGACTCATTCTTTTTTTTTATTTATTATTATTTCAACCTTTGATCTTCGCTTACTGCGGATAGCCCTAATGTAATGTTATTAAAGAACAGCTATTGTTTTGTAATGAAGGATAATAGACGTTTAGATTATTTTAGTTTCATTTATTCTTTGTGTTAATATAATATTTTTTTTATATATTTTACTTTAACCATATAACAAATATGGTAAAAAGCTGTTTTGCACAATCACTCGTATTAAAAGCTATTTTTTTATAAAATATTTGAAATTCATATGATTATTTTCTATTTATTACTTCTTTCAGCGAGTCTTCCATACACTTTTATTGTAAATATAGTCCATCTATTCAGGACTTCTGAATTGGGAAAGCAAACCTTCTTTTGTTTGTTATGAACGAACTATAATTTGGTAAATTTTAACAAATATATGTCAAGATTTTAAATTTTAATGTTTCTATTTTACATAACAGCGTTTAATGTCAAGCATCTCCTGCATAACTAATTTATTTGTATGTTCAGCTTGTAATTGTAAACATAACAGTTTATTCGTGAGTCGCTTACTTTTGTTTTTAAAGTACCCGCCAATTTCCATTCTACAAGGGAGCTATACTAAAATGTACTTATATACTAATAAAACAACAGTTGTAGACTAAGATAACAAATTTTGTATACTTACAAAATGAAGCATACTTTGCTTCAACAGCTGTTAATAATTCCCTTGGCCGCGAGTTAGCTCCAAGCCCGACATCAAACGAAAACACAACTTTAGCATTTATGTAATTCACTTATACGTAATATAATTATAATTTCAGTTGAAACATATAATTTATATTCACGAATGTACAAGCGAAACAAATTCTCGATTTTCAAGATTCTGCGAACGCACAGTAGTCGCGGCACGACTGCGACAGACGTCTCGTCGCCTCACGGCCTCAAGCCCATCTGAATTGTTTAATGTTTTGAACGAATGATTTCCATACAGTTTTGACCGATAGCAATCAGTAACGAATGAAGTGTGAACGAGTCAAAAGACCTATCAAAAACAAACCATAGACAAAGTTTCGAGAATTAAAAGTACTTATAAAACTTTAAATAAAAAGTATTGTTATATTAGACTAAAGTTTAACAAAATTTTAACTCATTTTTAAAGTTTACATACACTTTATACCTATTTGAATTCATAAAAATAGTAAAAACAATACAATTCCGTTCACCTCTTGACAACTATGAAATAAAATATATAGCAAAAAAGAATATCTAAATCTAACAGTTTGAATAATTAAACATATAATATCTCTAAATATTTTTATTAATAAGAGATTATGACAACTAAAAAATAATTTAATTATTTTTTTATTCCGTTAGAGTTTATGGCAACAATTGCCTAACGTCCATTTTCTATCAATTTGTAAAACTTAAAAAAACGACGTCGAAAAAAGAAATTCTTTTTGTCGGTTGAAAGCTAATTGTGGTTGGATAATGTGATTTTACTACTTTTATGTGTTTTAATTATAATTTATCGAGTATTAATATCCCTTAGCAAACGACATCAGCAAAACGGTAAGTTTATTATATATGAGACATTTTCAATTTTGTTTGTATTGTAGAAAGTAACCGTTGTCGGGCGTCCGCTAAGTGTTGTGATCTAGTTTAATATTCCGTGTTATATTAGACACAGCTACGGTTAAATCGCCGGTTAGATAGTATAAATCAGTGCGTGAATTTGGCCAGGTGGCCATTTAATGCCAATGCACCATTTACTGGTTGAATCATCACTTCCGAAGTATTAAGTTTTTCTTGTATATTTCTACAATTATATCTTGCTAACTACGTATATATAAGGAGAATACAGCTATACTGGGTAAATAACAATTTAATATATAAAACGTATCAATACCATATCGTTAATATTACATTCGTAATTGTTATTTGAACTACCTTTATTGTTTATAAATAGAAGAATATAAATTAATAATATTGTTGATTCATGCCAGCTGCATATTAACTGCAGTCCTTAACCTTGTAAGGGAGTATTTTTAAAGGTCATTCAGTTTGCATATTTAGTGATCAATTTTATTTTCATGGCTAACTTGAATCCTTATTCATATAAAACCTCTTTATTGTTAATAATTACATGTTAAAAGTTGCCAGTGCACTTTTACAACATACTCTCAGAATTAAAATCAAAACTTTCATGTTTTTAATACTTATCCATTGTTCTGACTATAATAATTTTAAAACTTGAATGACCAGTAAAATTCTCTTGTAACCTGTATTTGAAGTCATATCATATATGTGATGTCTTACAGCAAAATTCTTTGAAAAGATGAACTATAAGAGAAATAAGTCATTATTAAGTATAACATTAATTATTAAGTTAAATTAAAAGTAATGCAATATATTGAAGTAGTAATGAATGCTTATTATGGATCTTACATTGCCTCAATTCATAATATTTTTCAACCATGACAATCTTCTTCCTGGCAATTTCCCAGCTTTAGCCAGGGTCTGACAATATCTTTGTAAATACCACAATAGTATTATTCTCATATTGTAATATTTCAGGTAAGACTGACAATTAAATATGGAAGACGAAAATGAATACAAAAAGTTGCCGACAGAAGAGAAATGCGTCCATAAGTTATGGAAAGCGAGAGTGACCGGTTACGAAGAAGCTATCAAGCTATTCAATCAAATTGATGATGAAAAGTCTCCGGAATGGAACAAATACCTTGGACTTATAAAGAAATTTGTCACAGATAGCAATGTAGTTGCCCAAGAAAAAGGTAATTATATTATACAAAATAATATTTATAATACATATACATATTTATATATTATATGAATGTATGTACATATATATTTCTGAATTTCATTTGCCAATCGCATTAAGTATATATGTAAAATAACTTTCTTATCAATGTGTATATACATATACAGGGTGACTGGTGATTTACTATCGATATTTGAGGACGTGATATTTGACGATCATATATGACAAAATAAAAATTAATATAACATAAATATTAATAAACTTCTAAGTAAAGTTAACCAAAAGTTATGTAATTAATTACGCATCGTGTGAACACCCTACAGATTAGGTATACACTGACACTCACACATACGCGTGTCGTGACGTGGTGTTGTATCAGCACGCCCCCACACGCGTCCACACTTGGAACACTTGGAACGTGTACACACTTTATTTATTTTTACGGAAATTTGGTCAAAAATTAAGTACCTATTTTTTTTACATAATTCGAATGAGAATCATGTACCGAGTATGCTCCTTAAATATTGATAGTAATTCACCAGTCACCCTGTATATTATATGAATGTATGTACATATATATTTCTGAATTTCATTTGCCAATTGCATTAAGTATATATGTAAAATAACTTTCTTATCAATGTGTATATATATATTTTACAAGACATTAATATACAATACATATGTAAGGAGAAATTGCTTGCTGTCAATATTCAGTTTTAAATACTGTTCTATACAATAACTTTTTTCTATATGCTGTATATATATGTTGGCTATGAAGTTTCTTGAGAGATTATAGCCACTTACTTAGAAATTTCTTAGCAATCAGACTACAGGAAATGTTAATACTGTAAACTCTTTGAACATATTAATAGTAATTGAAAGACTTAATCTAAATAGTATTGAGTTTAAGCATCATTTAATGATATTTAAGTTTTGCATGGTCTATTTCATCTCGATGATGGTTTCTATAAAGAAATTAAATTAAGAAATTGGGATTATGTAGTTATATGATCACAAAAATATGTAGTTTCAGTAGCTATCACTATCTCAGTAATAGTGTGGTGTTTATTTTAAATTACTATTTTTTTATTAAACCTCTTTCCTAAGTTATTAATTTTTGTCATAATTTATATAGTTTTTAATATATAAATATTATATACTGGTGGATAAGTTATGTTTTGAATAAGTTGCTTATTTAAAATTAAATAACTATTAATTAACAAACTTAAATTTAATCAACTGAATTATAATATAGGGATAATATTCTTATAATTTATAGAAAAAAAAGAAAATTTGGTTATATATCTAGATGCATTCAAGTTGTTTTTAATATATATATATTTAAATATATTTTTAAATTCAGGCTTAGAAGCAGCTCTAGTATTTGTTGAGAACTGTGGTCATGCTGGAAAAACTACCGGAGAGGTGATGTCTGGAATAGTGACTAAATGTATCGCAGCACCCAAAACAAAGACTAAGGATCTCGCTTTACAAGTAAGAACACACATTTTTACTGAGGAGAAAAAAAGCTATTTGACAATCCTAAAATTGGCATTGATTTTCCAATCTATAAAAGTAGTCTTTTAAAAAACTACCCCAAATAAGTGGATCATAAAAAAACTTGACTTGATGGAACATTTGGTTGCCCAGATCATCAAAATGAATTAATGACTTGAGTCGCCAGTATACCATTCTATTCTCTTTACCCAATAAAACAAAAAATCTTCTCTTATGTGTCATTAAAATAGTATAACTTTATTTTAACAATATAAAAATTTATTATTATTTTTTTTCAGATAACACTCATGTACATAGAAATTGAAAAACATGAGATAGTTGAAGAAGAACTCCTTAAAGGCATGGAACAAAAGAATCCTAAAGTTGTCGCTGCTTGTATATCAGCATTGAATACAGCATTGAAACAGTTTGGCAACAAAGTGGTAGCTATTAAGCCTATGGTCAAAAAAATACCCATTCTGTTAGCAGACAGAGATAAAACTGTGAGGGATGAAATGAAGGCACTGGTTATAGAAATGCATAGGTTTGTTCATTACATATAATTATATAACAAGACTAGCTTTCCGCCGGCGACTTCGCCCGCGTAGAGTTCGGTTATATCGCGTTTCCAAGAGAACCTTTCAAAAGTTTGGGATAAAAACTATCCTATGTTCTTGCTCAAAGTCAACTCTATCTCTGTACCAAATTTCGTTAAAATCAGTTCAGTGGTTGAGGCGTGAAAGCGTACCAGACAAACAGTTACTTTCGCATTTATAATATAGGGATGATAAAAAAATCTTATAAATATATAAGCAGTCCCCACTTTCACATATATAGTGTGGGTGTTTATTGTTTAAAGCTCATTAATAAAGCTATATTTGGAAAGTAGGTTTAGCTGAGGTTGTAGGATGTTATGGCTTAGAGATCAGATATGCCTTTATATATAGGTGTATATGTATATATATATTTACATGTTTTTGTATGCATGATGTTTCATACAAATTAAATTGTGAAACTAATCTTTCATTATTTAATTTAAAACTATGTTTTTATTTAAGATACATACATATCTTTGGAATTTTATATCTTTGATATATCCCCATATTGACAAGATTTTATCCTGTGAAAAATGATTCTGGTCTCTATGTATTGAGTATTTAGATAAATTTAAGAAGAAATTACATTAACTACATAAAAAACAGATTTTTCTGAATATGTGTTTTTCTTGAATTACATTTAATTGTGAAATGGTTTCAATGTCATTTTGACTTCATGATGGGAAGGAAGTAATCACTTCAGTGAATCTCATACATAATAATCATAAACAATCTTGTGTGACTTAGTTGTACTGGGATTGTGGTATGATTATTCTCTCCTATACATAAGATGACTCCATATTGTGATAATATTATTCCATTATATTTGTAGATCGATAGGAAACCCCATCGAGCATATGTATGCATATGTTTCATACAAATGAAATTGTGAAACTAATCTATCACTATTTAATTTAAAACTATGTTTATGGTTTGTGACACCAACAACCTGCTGTTTGCTTAATCTTCCTGGCAATCTCCCAGCTTTAGCCAGGGTCTGCCTTAGTCTGCTATTTGCTTAATGATTCTTTATTATTATATTTGTAGATGGATAGGAGCGGCCATCGAGCCTCACATAGCGTCCTTGCAGGCTGTAGTACAACAGGAGTTAAGGGAATCCTTTGGGAGCGGTGGAGCAGCGCATCCTACGAGGTTCTTGAGATCACAACAACACCGCCTGAGAGAGGTGCCAGCAGCGGACTATACTGACGGTAATATTATATATTATACTAGAAGACCCGGCGAACTTCGTATGGCCCTATAATCAAGATCTGTTACGTTTTTTTATTTATATTTTTGGAGTTTACCTATTAAAGCCATAAATCTCCGTGTATTGAAGTGCGACAGAATGATTGACATATTAGTTAGTTGTCAAATCTAATGCCAAAAAAACGTTTGTATCAACAACTACTAATAAATTAAAAATTAAATAAAAAAACATTGTCCAGCGGACAAAATTGTGAATCTAAACCACTCCCAGATCCCCTTGAACACACAAAAAATTTCATCAAAATCGGTCCAGTCGTTTGAGAGAAGTTCAGTGACATACACACTCACAGAAGAATTATATATATAAAGATATTATAAAACTTCAGGTCGTGCTGACGATGAAGATGCAGAGACTGGTGGCGGTGACTCCGCGGAAATGGACCCTTACGACCTCTTAGACCCTGTAGAAATCCTTTCCAAGCTGCCCAAAGACTTCTACGACAAACTAGAAGCCAAGAAGTGGCAAGAAAGAAAGGAAGCTTTGGATGCTCTCGATAATATACTTAAGACAGCTCCTAAACTAGAGCCGGGGGACTACGCTGATTTAGTTCGAGCGTTGAAAAAGGTGAGTTTGGTACATTTAACTCGCTACGCTCGTACGGTTGTCTGGCAGAATTCGCTTTTTAGCGATAAGACCGCCTTTTTGTACATTCCAATTAATTAATTTATTTTTCTTTCCGTGTAATTTTACTGTTTTGTGGTGTACAATAAAGTATATTCTATCTATCTATCTACGTAGTCACAACATATTAGGCTATAATTATACTTGTATACGAGTCGCAAGCCGAAGCATAGAACAATGTTATTAAAAATATAATAAGTCGCTTTCTCATTAATGTAACTTTCAAATAACCTGACATGTTGAGCTAATAACAACGTAACATTTATTAACTAACTAGCTTTCCACCCGCAGCTTCGTGGAGTTCGGTTATATCGCGTTTCCAAGAGAACCTTTCAAAAGTCTGGGATAAAAACTATTCTATGTTCTTTCTAAAGGTCAACTCTATGTCTGTACCAAATTTCATTAAAATCAGTTCAGTTGTTTAGGCGTGAAAGCGTAACAGACAGACAGACAGAGTTACTTTATAATATTAGTAGGGATTGACCCGTCATCTTGTGCTTCAGTTCGTGCGTCCTCTCGCGACTCGTATGCGAGTGTAGATCTAGTATTAAAATAAATGAATATCACTATTTTTGTATGAATTATTTAGTGTTTAATTGTGAGAAAATTACCCTAAAAGTCGTTAATACAGAAAATATTTCAGCTTAAACTTTCTTCTGATAATCTGCTTCCAATGTAGATACGCGGAATTATTTTAATATGTATATGTGAATGTTATCTATATGTTAATATATGTATCGCAGGTGATATCTAAGGACACCAACGTGATGCTGGTCGCTCTCGGCGGGAGGCTGCTAGGTCTGGTCGCCAGCGGGCTCCGGAACAAGTTCTCACCGTACGCTGTCGCCTGTGTGTCCGCTATACTGGAGAAATTCAAAGAAAAGAAGACGAACGTCGTAACCGCATTAAGAGACGCCATAGACGCTATATATCCGTGTGTGAGTATTATTTACATGAAAACTGTGCGCCTGTGGTGTTAAACGCGGATTTCCGGGATGTAAAGTAGCCTATGTGTTATTCCTGGATATCAGCTTCCTGTATACTTTTTTCAAAATCGCTTCAGCCGTTTGAGCGTGATGAAGTAACAAACATACACACGCTAACAAACTTTCGCAATTATAATATAAGTAGGATTAAGGTTTTACATACATTTAGTGAAGTGAAATATTTTTATTTAGCAAATAGAAGATAGTATTGGACATAGTCGCAAAATATGAGAGTGACATTTGTAAGTTAATTTATATATTCTAGCAGTATTTGAAAATAATTACCATTATATACTTTTTCCGTCTGTGTTCAAACTAATAACTTCTTTAGTCATATCCATAAAATTCATCCTTTTTATTTGACCCATATTTGTCTCGTCCTTGTTTCTAAAACCAAGAAGACTTTGGTTGTAAGACTTTAAGTCATAACTCTAACGGGGCATCTCAAAACACTTTACTACTGGACCTGAACAGTTGTCGAAAAAAAATATAAAACAGGTTTTAACCTAATTTCGTTCAGATCAATGTGAATTGCAGCAGAGTTGCATATTTTAATGTATAAAAAGTTTTCGATGATTTACAAACACGTGGCTATGCATACATAGTTTTGTGGCAAAGTCTGTACTTGAAGTAATTTAGTTATTGAAGGGAGTTCATAAATAACGTAAGGCGTTTTTTCACATTTTCTGTCTCTCACTCTCCCGTATTATTTACGACTAGTTTAGACTAGTCATGCATATACCTGAGAGTTTAATTATAAGTCTAAGAAAAATTTTACAATAGAATACTTAAATATTAACTACTGTGATTTAAAAAAGAATATCTAATCTAATTCAGTCCATGAAGATTCGTTCGCGGTCTCAATATACTATGGGAACCAACATGTTCATATGATTTTCATTAAAATGTGCTCTTTCCACGTCGTTCTGATCCAGCCACTGTAAGCCGTTAGCGCCTGCGCACAGTGACTAATTAGCTTAATCCTATTACAATTACGCTTAAGATTAAATCTTAAGCATGTATAATCTGGATTAAGTGGACCAAAATAGAATATTTTTTTGTTCTATTCAGAAAAAATACGTGATATTTGCCAAGACCCCCTCCCCCTCTCCAACATAAGAATTGACGCCCTCCCTCTTAAAAATCTCACGTATGTTATGAACGCCGTCTAAGTCAGGAAAAGTAAGGCATAATTAAAAAATGTTAACATGATGTAGGTAGCTCTTGAATATTCAATGTAGATCTCATGTGTAATAGAAGTAAACTTAAAATGCAAATGTGCATTTCCTCCGATTTTGATAATTTAGTAGTTCAGAGCAAATTTGTCTCTTTTGATTAAAGGTTTTTTCGATAGTAAAATTTCAGATTGGGATACATGATGATTGATGACTAACGGGGGACCTTTAATGGCCTTTATGTTTAAGATGTTTTCATTGATAAAATTTTCAAGGTCACATCATATGACTACGGAAAACTAAATAAAAATCTCGAGTAAAAGTATTGAAAATAAATGAATAAATAGGATTGTGGTCTGTTCTTACTATTTATGTATATAATAAATAATCTTATTGTTTTTATATAAAAAAGCCCAATAAATAATATATTAATAAACTATTAAAATATTTGATTGTAGGACGGCGACATAATAATGTGACTAAGTATTAATATTGTTCGTGATATGATAAATTTAACTCTGGTTAGGGCTCATTGGATTTTCTATAACAACTTGTTGATTGACGGCACGTCTAAAAAATATGTTAGTGTTTTATTTATATTGAATTAAATGCAGTAAATTGTTATAAACAACATCTGTGTCACATTATCTGACTTTATATTTAATTCATATAAACGTTAATGTTATTCTCAATTTTATTTAAAATTTGTTATTTAATCTCGTATGTTTTATATCAGTTATAAAATGATATATATTAAAAATCTCCCAATCCCTTAGTATTATACTGAATGTTTTAATATAATTATTATAAATAAACACTTGGTAAGTCAAATACACAATACAAGATATACAAACGTTAGGGGCCTCTCATCCCATTAGCTGAATCCCATTAGTTAAAATACCATGAGACCGACCTAGAGAGGCTTTCGAAACTATACATAGACTTGTGTACGTTATATGGCACGTTAAACAAAAATAATATTTACAATTTGTTTATTTATATACAATCATTACCAATATATAAATCATAATCATTACCATATTAAAAAATTACAACATTATGCGTCTGACAAATCCTTTAAAAATAGTGTTTTTGTTGTTTTTTTTACTTTGAATTGATGTAATGATCCATTATAGGATATTTTTCATAAAAAAAGCAAAATAGCATTTTTGTGGCATACAACAACATACGTGAGAGGTATTGAAATATAATATGTATATAGAAAATGTTTCCTTCAATGTTTTTTTGGTACATCGTGTTAGTTTATCTTGTATAGTTCTAAATTAAAGGTTTTAAAGATTGTATCAAAAATAAAAATATGTATATATATTTTAGTGGGGAGAAAACCTCTGGTCATTTTCAATAATATGAAAAAATTAGGCCATAAAAGTACTTAACCTATTCAGTTATGAATAGTGTGTACGCGAGTTATATTTCTGATAACTATTAATTACTAGCTTTTGGCGCGACTCCGTCCGCGTGGAATAGTGACTTCCGGCAGATTTTTGGTTCTTCCCACATAGTTCCCGTTCTTGCGGGGTTATAGGAATGGTAGAGTTCCCGTAGAATTTTCAGGATAAAACCTATGTTTTTTTTTTATTCACAATGAAGTACCCTTAACCAACAACATATTTATTTGTTTATTTGAATAAAGATTATTATTATTATGTTGATACAACTTAAACAAATTATTTCGACCAAATTAGGTACCATAAAAACGGTTTTTGTGAGTTAATCTTAAAAGATAGACATATACTGTCGCGGACTGTTTTTTAGATCATTAAAAGAGCTATTATTCTTTAATACATATTTTTTGTGTATCTTGAACCGTTTTCACGGCGCACGCAACGGAAGGCTTCAAAGATGAAATAATTTCTCCCGTTTTTTACACATTTACCACCATATCTTTGCTCCTATTGGTCGTAGCGTGGTGTTATATAGCCCACAGCCTTCCTCGATAACTGGACTATCCAACACAAAAAGAATTATTCAATTCAAACCAGTAGTTTCGGAGATTAGCGCTTTCAAACAAACAAACAAACTCTTCAGCTTTATAATATTAGTATAGATTAACCTGTGGTTTAATTCAAGGGGGCCGTGACAAGCGGTTAAAAAACTATATAAGTTATTCGTGCGTGTCAGACATTCAAAATACTATTTGATGTCAATTTAACTCTAAAAAGTGTCCTATTCAAATATCTGTTGATTTAAGCAACACATAAAGTCATAATAGGATTTTGTGTATAGAAAAATAAGGTGATTTTGACATACTTCAAGGTCAAGATGATGTCTTAGTTCTTCTAAATAATAATCTGACAATTATATTAGAGGGATATTACTAGCCTGAATTTTTCAAAGGAAATTTAGAAATAATATATCCGCATTCACTTATGGAAATTGGACAGTTTATTAATATATGATTAAATATTAATCATTACAACTAAATGCTCGTATAGATAACTAAATAAATATAAATTAGAAATCATTAAAATTTATAATACAAAGAGAAAAAGTGAGATAGTGGGGAACCCATATATTTACCATTTGTGCGCTCCACTTTTTCCCCATCATCCTACAAATATCGCCCTATAGAAACTTTCAGATTATTGGTTTTTACTAATTCTTACAGTGTTTAGGTGACTTTTTTGTGACTTCGAGACTAGCTTATTTCTTAAGCTCTCTATCAAACTCTAAAATTTTTGTGATATACAATCTTCCCGATGCAATTAATGGACCTTCTCTTAATCTGATGCTTTCGAGTTTCTCTAAGAATCGGTTTTTTTTTACTAATCAGACCAATTCACCTCAATGCTCCCCACCATGTAAAGGGTTCATACTCGGTAGAGGTATATTAAAAGAGTGTAACGATTCTCCTCATATAATTTTCTGAGACGCATAAGTCAGATAGTTAGTAGCTTTAGCATTACTATATCTAAAAACAGTTTTAGCAAGCAACTTTAGCAAACTTATCAGTCTATATATTTTAATTAAACCTTGCTATATATCTTTTAGTGTTAAGATTTAAACAAAACTAACATTCAATGTATATAAAATTATATTTCTTTACATTCATTTTCAATAAGTTTTAGTATATATTAATTTGCAATAAAATTATGTAAGTTTCAAGAAAGTCAATACATTCCTAATAAAAATTTCTCTTTCACATTTTCAGACGAATCTAGAAGCTATAATGGAAGATATGCTAGCAGCCTTCGATAACAAGAACCCGTCTATAAAGGCTGAGAGTGCTGTGTTCCTGGCTCGAGCTCTGTGTATCACACAACCTGCGGCCTTCAACAAGAAACTCATTAAGGCTTATGTAGCTGGGCTGTTGAAGTTACTGGAAAGCGCTGGTAATTTTAATTATATATATGTTTGTATATATAATACTGGGTAATATATCGTCGGGGATAGTGCAAATCCCCGTAACTACTACTAATTTTTTTACTAAACTACAAATTTTTTACAATAAGTAATTATTTAGTTTTTTTATAACTAATTGTGAAAAAGTTACCTTAAAAATCTTTAATATTGACAATATTTCAACTTAAACTTTCTTCTGATAATCTGCTTCCAATGTAGATACGCGGAATTATCCAATGGAAGCTATATATGTTAGTATTTGACGATATATCTGTTAGTATTTGACGATATATCTGTTAGTTACTGTTACTGGGTTGTAAATAAAATTGTATAAAAATGTATGTATTAATCTTAAAAAGAATGCAAGAAAGTAAGGGGTTTCATAAAATGAAAGATTACTTGAGAAAAAAATCTTATTGTTAATTGGTGATTGTTGTTATACATATAAATAGTTGCAAATATACAATAAATTTATATATAATTAAATAATACAATAATTAATTACAAGTAATTGGACAACTTTATATTTATATAATCAATTAATTTTTTATATAATTTTAACTATGTATAGGATGGAATTCACCTTCTCCATGTGAGAAAGAGGCCTTTGCTCAGTAGTGGGCTCTGATAGTATAAAAAAAATAAATTAAAATATTAAATGTCTCTATCCATTGCAAGTTTTTTTATTTTTACCATAATTTGAATGTTTCCTAGATCCGGCAGTAAGAGACGCCGCTGCTGAAGCCCTGGGTACAGCAACTAAATTGGTTGGAGAAAAAAATATTGCTCCACATATTGGTAAACTAGATAATTTGAAAGAACAGAAAATTAAAGAATTTGCGGAAAAGGTAAGGCTCAATACAATTCTAATTCATACATTTAAAAGGCATATTAAAAATATCCTTAAAAAAAGTTTCTACTGTTATACTTAAAGTTTTTCATTAATAAATTTTTCACATATGAATAAAATACAGATTTGTGTTTATTAAGATTTGATTTAAATGTGTTTGAATTCTGATTACACTATTGATATTGTGGTGTACTCAGTTAAGTACTTCATTCTCTCTTAACGTTCTTACACGTTCTTACACTAAGTATACATTAGTATGAGTGATTTTAATATACGGAATTTTTAAATGCATCTATCAATCACATAATTAAAGTAAAAATTGCATGGTCATAACCTAATTGGTACTTAAAGTAACAATAATTGATTACTAATATGAGTAATAACATATTACCAGGCGGAGATTAAAATCAAAATATCGGCTCCCAAGAAGGAAGTTAAAGCCAAAGCTCCTCCGCCCAGCGGCAAGGGAGATGCCAAGGCTGGCTCGACTCAACCAAAACCTGTTAAAAGACCAGCATCTGGAAGTTAGTATCATATATATTGCCAACTAGCTTTCATCCCGCAGCTTCACCCGCGTGGAGTTCGGTTATATCGCTTTTCCAAGAGAACCTTTCAAAAGTCTGGAATAAAAACTATCCTATGTTCTTTCTCAAGGTCAACCCTGTCTGTACCAAATTTCATTAAAATCAGTTCAATGGTTTAGGCGTGAAAGCGTAACAGACAGACAGAAAAAGTTACTTTCGCAATTATAATATCAGTAGGGATATACTTACTTCGAGTTTGAATAGTCTCATGACGTGTGCTTTAATAATTTTTCATTATATCTTCGTACATTGCAGTATTGATATGTTATTGGTTGAAAGAGTAAAACGCTTCTTATGTAATGTGTAGATGTAAAGTTGTACTAAGCATACTGATCCGATAAAAAAAAGTATATATACAGGGTGACTGGTGAGTTACTATCAATATTTAAGGACGTGGTAGTTGACGATCATATATGACAAAATAAAAATTAATATAACATAAATATTAATAAACTTCTAAGTAAAGTTAACCAAAAGTTATGTAATTAATTACGGATCGCGTGGATACCCTAGCTGCGTTATCGACACAAAACAGTTATGTACGTAGGTATATGTAGTTATCGCGCGGTCGTTTACCTACATCCAAACGCCGCGCGCCGCCGCGTGTTAGACCTTAGATAAACAAAAATGATCCAATTCCCTTCATACTTTAATCCTGGCTTAGGACAGGCAAAAATACCAAGATATTTCTTTCGTTTAAGCAACCAATTTATTGACTAGGTAAATGGTGTGACCTTGACACGAAAAATAATATGAACTGTTTACCTATCTTGGTATTTCCGGCGTATTTAAAAATGGAATCATTCTTATTTACAACAATTGTCAATCATTAAACTACCTATTTACCTACATAACTACACTAACCTTAACAAATGTTCAAAGCGAGCTCCTTCTCGTGTGATACACAGTTCGGCACGTTTACACATATTGTCTTTCACACGATTTAATACGAATGGGTCACTTTTAATAGTTTCGAAAGCACTATTGATTTTTAATTTCAACTCCTCTCTGTTGACATACATTGTAGCATACACAAGACGTTTCCTTGGGCATGTGTTGGAACACGGAACTGTCCGAAGTCTCGTAATCTTTGATTAGCGTTTAAGACGACGCTGGCCGTAGGTACTCGACGATTGGGGAACAAATCCCCGGTACAAATTGATTGCGCCCCGCAAGCTTTCATTTGCACGCGCATACGCATAAACCATGTCCAAGTATTCTGCATTTGTGTATTGAAAAGCCATATTTAATTACTAATAAGTAATAACGGGTCACACGCACACACGACAGATTATTATTAGGTATACGCGTAAGATCGATCGCTAGGCGCGCGCGCGCGGGAAGACGAACGTACGGACCTTACGGCGGCGCTGGCGCGACTAATAGCCGACTAATGGCCCGCTAGCCACGGGGCGGGGGTTGGGGAGTAGCGACACACTGGCGCCGGCAAGGATGAGTACGTATCCAAACTTTATTTATTTATACGGAAATTTGGTCAAAAATTAAGTACCTATTTTTTTTACATAATTCGAATGAGAATCATGTACCGAGTATGCTCCTTAAATATTGATAGTAACTCACCAGTCACCCTGTATATTGGATTTATAATGTTTCAAATATTTTTTTGATTATTATTTTAAATGTCCATTTTCTACTTGATTATAATGATCTTTGTGAAGATTTACAATTGATCATATTAAAATGAGTATATTTTTTCTTTTTGCTAACAATTAATAAAACTAATGAAGATGGCCAGAGATTATTCTAGTTATAAACTTTTTAAATGCAAAATTTTAACCATAATATCATAATAATATTTGTAAAGAAGAAGTAAGTTTAATACCCTAATTATAAGTAATTAATGAGGCTAAACTAGGTTAACAATTATAAATATAGATAATAATTAATAACCATTATGTTAAGTTGCTAAATATTGTTATTATAATAGACTTTTTATAATATTTATAGCAGCAAAGAAACCTACAGCCAAGAAGGCCCCCGCGCGAGGCCCTTCAAGTCCCCCGCGGGAATTGGAATTATCATCTGAAGAAGTAGACTCCAGGGCGGAACAACTGTTCACATCGGACGTTCTTACTGGTAATTAACTATTGTTTATATTAATTAAAGATCTTCTTCTACCTGGCAATTTCCCGGCTATAGCCAGGGTCTGCCTTACATGCTGTGAATAGTTATGGCTAATTGTTTTTTACGACTGGCCGCCATTAATACATGTAAAGATATCGTTGTTAAAGTATTGACAACATGACAGTTTATAAGTAATCCTGACACTTCACATCCAATTAATGTTGATCACAAAATAATGAATCCATGGGGGTCAATGACCTGATTAAAGCTTTTTTAAAACTTCATTTTTTAAAGTAAACAATTAATGATATGTATATTTAAAATACTTAGGAACTCACTTGTATTAAGCCTTACGAGAATATATGTAATATACTTACTATTCTTATATATTTCAGGTTTAGGAGATGGTAATTGGAAGTCTCGTCTGACAGCCGTTCAGTCGTTCCATTCAACTGTTCAAGGTTTGACTACATCAGACGCGACAGCACAAGTCTTATATAGAACACTCAACAAGAAACCAGGGCTTAAAGATACTAATGTTCAAGTATTGAAAGCTAGGTTGGAGGCCTGTAAATATATCACGGAAAACTTTCCCATATCTACGTAAGTTAATAATAAAATAGTATTATTTGTATTCCAATAATATCGTTTCGTTAAGGATAGTGTGAATCTGCGTAACTACCATTGGATAATTCCGCGTATCTACATTTGAAGCAGATTATCAGAATAAAGTTTAAGATGAAATAATTTCTATATTAACGACTTTTAAGGTAATTTCACAATAAGTAATAAATTAAACACAAAATAATTACTAATTATGTAATTTTTTTTCTTAAAAGTCGTTAATATAGAAATTATTTCAGCTTAAACTTCCTTCTGATAATCTGCTTCCAAAGTAGATACGCGAATATCCAATGGTAGTTACGCGGATTTGCACAATCCTCGGTGATTTTTTAATAACAATATATCACCTAATATTATATCTTCATACAGAACCGCCGCAGACTTTGTTCTTCAAGATATCGTCACGAAGTTGGGTGAAACATCCTGTTCTTCAATTTCATCCGAGTGTCTCACATCGCTGGCTGAAAGCTGTGGTTTAGAACACGTACTTAATGAAGGACTCACATTCGCAATGGACTCACAGAAGAACCCTAAAGTTCAAGCAGAAATGTTCAATTGGATGGCCGTAGCGATAAAGGAATTTGGTTTCACGTAAATATTACTTCTAATGATCCTAAAATATATTATATAATATACTAGCTACGCCCCGCGGTGTTACCCGCGGATTTCCGTTATTTCCGGGATGTAAAGTAGCCTATGCGTTATTCCTGGACGTCAGCTTCCTGTATACAAAATTTCATCAAAATCGGTTCAGCCGTTTGAGCGTAAAGAAGTAACAAACATACACACACTCACAAACTTTCGCAATTATAATATTGATAGGATTTTTATTTAAATGAAGCGAATTAACTTCAATTCTATTTGATTTCCAGAATGAATGTCAAATCAATAATCGCTCATTCGAAAAAAGCCTTGTCTGCGACGAATCCCAACGTTCGAACGTCTACCATCAATTTCTTGGGAATACTCTCTTTATATGTGGGCCCATCGCTTATCAGTCATTTCGACAGCGAAAAACCCGCTACCAAGCAACTGATAAGCTTGGAACTAGATAAATATGCTAACAGCACTCCGCCCACGCCTACTAGACAATTGGGAACAGTGAGTAAGGTATGTATAATATTATATACATTATTTTATTCTTATACATTTATATATTAGCTTTCCGCCCGCAGCTTCGCCCGCGTGGAGTTTCATTATATCGCGTTTCCAAGAGAACCTTTCAAAAGTCTGTGATAAAAACTATCCTATGTTCTTTCTCAAGGTCAACTCGATCTCTGTACCAAATTTCATTAAAATCAGTTGAGTGGTTTAGGCGTGACAGACAGACAGAGAGAGTTACTTTCGCATTTATAATATTAGTAGGGATATTTATATTAAATATTTATGTATTTTCTTACAGTCGGCAAGTAAAGGTTCAATAGGAGACGATCTCGACGAAGCTTATGAAGATGCGGCAGATGAGGAGCCGGCTGCTGTAGAAGATAACAGACCGAGAACTGATATAGCACCGCTTATCACTGACGCATTAGTTGCTGAAATAGGAGATAAGAATTGGAAGGTAGGTCTAATTTCATTATAATGACTAGTTGTTACCCGCGACTCCGTCTGCGTTAGCAAAAAAATAGCATAAAACAACTAAAAAAAGCGCCGCATGCGATAAGCTTCGTTTAATTTCGGGGTCGAGATAAAAAGTAGCCCTAGTTACTCATTATTACATCAGGTATCTACTCATAAAAGTGCCGTCAAAATCGGTTCAGTCATTTCAGAGATTAGCCGCAACAAGCACAAACAAAAATTGTGAAAAAAATATTTTCGTGTGTACCATATATGAGTCGTTTAGTATCAAAGGCGGCATTCTGCAAATTTAGTGAAAATAAAGATTTTTATATGGCCACACAGGAAATTTAAAATAACGTTACGTACTTCATTTACTTTATAACAAAAACGACTATCTCGCAGTGAAATCCTTTTTGAAAATCAGGTTTAGTATCAAATCCGGCAATCTTCAACAGCATAAGAATCAAACCCGGCATTCTAACTCATTCCACCAATCACAAGCGTCCGTGTGGTCACGTGACTAATGACGTCTTTTGGAAGTTTCTAACGAATTTTTGTCCGTGTTTTATTGAATTATTTTATTTATTGTGATTACTATTATAAAATATATGTATAAATTGAATCATGGATGTACATTCTAAGCCTGTAATAAATAAGTTTGCCCGGAAACGACAGAGAAACTCAGAAAAATGGAAACAAAACTTGGCGAAGAAACTCAAGTAAAATGGATATGGCTGTCACGTCACGACTAAGACAAAGTGTATTCTATGTTTTTTTTAACCCTAACAAAAGATGATTGTTATAAAGTTGACCACTATACTATGTGTATATGTGTGAATGGATTTTCATGCGGTTCTTTTAATATTCCTGAACAAAATCTGAAAAAAAGTTACACAGTTGTAAATTATAATTGTCAGCTTTTTTAAAAGACGCGACAGGATTATAGCTTCTCTTTATTGGGTGAAGGATTTTTAAAATTTCAATATATTCTGCTTGTTTCTGGTTATAGTTTTGGTTTAATCCGTCCCTGAAAGAGTCTGCTCGCATAACACAAAATCGCTTAAATGCGCTACTTGTGCTGTGTTGTTGTGCATGCCGTGTAGTTTCATTATCACCACTTGATTTATACAAATAAAATCCTTAACCCTTAAATTCGCCTTGTTGCATATCTGCAACGAACCGAAAATTAAAATAATTTGACAAGTTAATGTACACGTTTCTGAACGTAATCTGCCATAGATTATAGAAAAAATTATGAACGTTTTGACATTTAACGTGACGGTTCATTTTCAAAAATTTAAACTTCATAATTTTTTAATTTAAAAATCGCTGGCGCGCGAATTTGTAAAAAGTAATTTGTGTGTAGTGTTATGTCGTTTTTTATGCGAATTTCGAAGGTAAGTGTCTTTTGTTTTTTTATATTTCACTAATATAACTAATCAAGAAGACCAGAAAATAATAATTTTCCATATATTCAAAAGTTTGATAAGTTTTTTTTCAAACAAACTGTTTGTGTCGTATGTGCAACATTGCGCATTTACATTCAAACAAATTTGAATTTTTACTTGATCAGTAGTGATGTATTTAGAAAAATTTACCTAATTTTGTTTGCCTTTTACAGCATGAAGAGATTGCTGAATAACTGAGACATCGAAGAATATCTGCAAACTCTGGATCTGTCCGAGGATGACTTGGAATTATCAGAAGAAGAAGAGCAAGATGAAGAAGTTTACTATGAGAATAATCGCCAGTTATTAGCGGATTTAGAATATTGTGATGAAGATTTGGGACCAACTGGTAATACCGTTGTGCGTCTAACTCGGATTGTTCCAAGACGTGTCAACCACATTATTTATTTCGACAACTATTACACATCGGTGCCATTGCTCACTTACTTTGCAAAAGAAGGAATATATTGCTTAGGAAGTATACAGGTGAATCGCATACCTAATAACAAGCTTCCGGATAAGAAAACTCTGATGAAACGAACAGTACCAAGAGGGTACTATGAGGAACAGGTTGCCAATGTAGATGGTGTCGACATTAGCGCTGTTTTATGGAAAGACAACAAGCCTGTGACTTTGATGTCAACCTACACTGGAGCCTTGCCTGTGACTACAATTATGAGGTATGATAAAACGACGAAACAGCGGATTTCAATATATTGCCCCAATGTGAGAAAGGACTACAATACCCACATGGGAGGAGTGGATCTCCTTGATAGTTTTATCGGAAGGTACCATGTTACTCGCAAAAGCAGAACGTGGACAAATCGCTTGTTTTTCCATCTTCTGGACGTTACAGTCGTAAATTCGTGGCTATTGTACAAGAAATCTCTGAAACTGTACAAATCTTCCATAAAACCATTGAATCTGTGCAATTACAGACTTGAGCTGGCCCATACCTTATGCAATCTTGGCCAAAAAGGAAATGGTACCAAAAGGGGTCGCCCAAGCAGTTCATCTTTAGAAGCTGAATTTCAACTAAAAAAGAAGTGTGGACCAGCTCAAACTATGCCTCCGAAAGATATCCGACAAGACACAATATATCACTGACAAAAATTGGGGGATCGGGCCAGATGTAAATACCCTAATTGTAAGGGATATACATTCAGTTATTGTGAAAAATGTAGAGTAAACTTATGTTACAACAGACAATAATTGTTTTTATAAATTTCACCGTGATTAAAAAAGAACTTGAATTTGTATCTATTTTGAGTTTGTTATTGATGACCTCATTCTTTCCATACATAGCATAATTCGATGACTGCGCACTGTTGCACATATGCAACATACACTTTTTTGTATTTTTAGTAGCTTTATATCAATACTATATATTTTTAACCATTTTTCCTTTGCTCTATAGATCCTAATATGATTAGAATAATATATTTATAAACGATTACAAAATTCGCGCATTTAAGGGTTAAAACAAATTTATAACTTTTTTTATATCCTTTTTGACAACCCTGAACGAGTTAATTTTTTTGGTAAGTATCATAAACGGCAATCTCGACATAAGTTGGTATCAAATACGGCATTCTCAGATGTTTGGTTTCAAATCCGGCATTCTGCAAAATTCTTTTCTAAATTTCTTCAAATTGTTATTTTTATAGTACACAATGAGAGTTTAATATTAAGCGCAACAATACTTACATCACTTAAAATAAAGTTACGTAATATTATTTTTGAATCGGACGACACAAACCGAAAATGTTTAATTCTCTGATTTCAGTCTAAGTGTAGATTGCCGCCTTTGATTCTATACGACTCATATATACAGGGTGACTGGTGAATTACTATCAATATTTAAGGAGAATACTCGGTACATGATTCTCATTCGAATTATGTAAAAAAAATAGGTACTTAATTTTTGACCAAATTTCCGTATAAATAAATAAAGTGTGTACACGTTCCAAGTGTTCCAAGTGTGGACGCGTGCGGCGGCGTGCTGATACAACACTACGCCGCCGCCGCGTCTGTGTGAGTGTGTGTGCATACCTAATCTGTAGGGTGTTCATACGATGCGTAATTAATTACATAACTTTTGGTTAACTTTACTTAGAAGTTTATTAATATTTATGTTATATTAATTTTTATTTCGTCATATATGATCGTCAAATATCACGTCCTCAAATATCGATAGTAATTCACCAGTCACCCTGTATAGTCACAAGCATACAGTAAAAACGGTTTAAGTACTACAAACACACTTAAATTTTATTTATATGTGCAAATAATAATCTTTATGATTTAAACAAGAACCCATATAAATGTTACAGGTTCGTAACGAAGGTTTGGATAAAGTGAAGGCAATCATTACAAACTCATCACCAATCAAACCTTCGCTGGGTGAATTACCAGCGGCGCTTGTTGCAAGACTTCTAGATTCTAACTCAAAATTAGCTCAAAGTGCTCTGCAAATTTGTGAGCTGCTAGCGACATCTATGGGTCCTAAATGTAAACAGCACGTAAGGACCTTTTTCCCGGCTTTCTTTCAAGGTTTGTTTACATTCATATATATATAAGAAACCTATATTTATTTGAATCGAACTCCTGGTACCATGAAGTCCATGTTTTTCCAGCATTTGGTGATAGCAAGCAATGGATTCGTACATCAGCTGTGTCGTGTGTTGATTCGTGGTGCGGGGCGGCGGGCGCGGCGGTTGCCTTTGATGGGGAAATGGTTCTAGATGCTCTTAAAGCCGGTTCACCAGTACTACGAGCTACGCTATTAACATGGCTAGCTGAAAAGCTACCTAATAGTAAGGATTCTTTTCTCTATTATACATTTTTGACATGATCCAAACATTTTAAACATATACATATTACGTTACGATATTGTAGATAGTCAAAAAAACAAAAACACGTAATCTTTAAAGTATGCTAACTTAACTATCTTCCAATATTTACATTGTTTTTTCCGTTAACTATTTTCCGTTTATCCTACGTATTAAATAATTTTCAGTTCCTCCCAAGTCGTTTCCTCGCGAGGAGCTATCTCAATGCGTGCCTATACTATTCGCGTGTCTCGAAGACCGCGCGGCGGATGTAAGGCGTGCGGCCGCGGACGCCGTGTTCCCAGTCATGTTGCACCTCGGATATGAAGCAATGCACAAACAGATGGACAAACTAAAGGTATAACTTAAAAATTACAAGTCTTGATACATATAGGCGTTTTGAAAATCATATTAACTATTTCGTCGGGGATAGTGAAAATCTACGTAACTACTATTGGATAATTCCGCGTATCTACATTTGAAGTAGATTGCCAGAAGAAAGTTTGAGCTGAAATATTTCCCATATTAACGACTTTTAAGGTATTTTTTTCACAATTTGTAATAAATTAAATACTAAATAATTACTAATTGTAAAAAAAATACCTTTAAAGTCATTAATTTAGAAAATATTTCAGCTCAACTTTCTTCTGATAATCTACTTCAAATGTAGATACGCGGAATTATCCAATAGTAGTTACAAAGATTTGCACTATCCCCTATGATTTCTTTTATTATACTTATATTCTTTCAATCTAACTTTGAATTTTACAGCCGGGATCTAAAACTGTTGTGCAAGCGGCTCTGGATAAAGCTCGTCCTAATTTGCCGGTACAACCTTTACCGGCTAAGAACAAAAAAGACGAACCCAAAGGTGTGAAGACGGGAGGCGCTTTGAAGAAGGAGGGAGATAAAAAGGGAACAATGACTAAGAAGGTACATTAAGTTTATTTATTTATTTAAAGGTACATTAACATCACACATATTCAACACACATAAACAACAGATAAAATTGATAAAATCTAGGACCTGATATGAGTGACAATTACAGACGTACACAACATTCACAAAAAGAAAAAAAAAATAAAACTAATTGTCTACCTGATAAATTTAAGTGATAATTAAATAACAATATACATTAAATAACAATATCCTTAGAAAACTATCTAAAGTTATATTATAATAATGAATATATAAATATTGTATGTAAATGTGTATACTTCATGGTTTTAATACATAACTATTATAATTTTAATATTTTTTTACAAACCAGGTGGTTAAACCGGCTTCCGCTTCAAGTCGCGGCAAAAAGGAAGACGAAGATTGCACTCCTCTGTTACCCAATAATAATGCTAAGAACCAGCGTATTATTGACGATCAGAAATTGAAAGGTATGGTATAGTTACAGTGTTCATTAAATTAAAATACCTAAAAGAATCTTTCAAACAAGTACACTTATGTAACAAGATATGTAACAAGATGCCTGGCAACAGATTTACGAGAAAGAGTTAGATATATATAGATATCTCTCTCTTAAATGTTAAACTACATTAATAACAGTTTTTATGTTTATTTCATTATATTTCAGTATTGAAATGGAACTTCACAACACCTCGCGAGGAATTCTTTGAATTGCTCAAAGAGCAAATGAACAGCGCCGGCCTTAATAAACAACTGGTCGCTAATATGTTTCACAGCGACTTTCGGTGAGTAGATAAAGACAAATAAATCAAAATATATATACTTTATTCTCTTGATATTAAATTCCATTTTGTTTCAGCTATCACTTGAAAGCTATCGAAGCGTTATCAGAAGACCTTAATGAAAACGGAACTGCGTTGATGGCGAATTTGGACCTTGTGTTAAAATGGTTGACCCTGAGATTCTTTGACACCAACCCTTCAGTCATATTAAAGGGCTTGGAATATTTGAATATTGTGTTCCAGTACTTAATTGATAGTGATTATACTATGGCTGAATATGAAGCTAATTGCTTTATACCGTATTTAGTACTGAAGGTTTGTTAATAGCATTTAATTCTTGAGTTTTCAACTTTAAATCGATTTGTTTTTCAATGAAAACTTCGAATTAAGTTTAATAACTTACTATATTTACTAGTGTTACTTCAATATATTATGAAATGTTTTAGTATGTACTTGACAATGTATTTTTTTTATTCTAGGTCGGAGATCCGAAAGATACTGTACGAAATGGTGTAAAGGCTTTGTTCAAACAAATAGGAGTCGTGTATTCAGTCACTAAGTTGTTCGGATATTTGATGGAAGGTCTGAAGTCTAAAAACGCCAGGCAAAGGGCTGGTTAGTAAAATCATTACTATTATTATATATATAATTTAAAGTAACTTAAAAAACCTTACATTGATGTTATACATACATTATTATTCTTTGAAGATTGGGATACAAAGACAGGTTTTCTGATATAGGGTCATTGTAGTAGTGATGTATTCATATCTCATGCAACTTAAAAGAGTTCTATCTCTATCAAAAATTTACTGCCGTTTATTATTTCAATATATTATGTATTTGTAATCACATGATTATTGAGATTTTTCCTTTAGTGGCTAAAACCATCAGTAAATTATTGAATTGTATATTATTACTTTATGACACTAACAAATGATGTGTATTTCAGAATGTCTGGAGTGCATTAATCATCTTCTGGAGACGTACGGTTCTTCGGTGATGTCGGGCGGCGGCGCGGCTCTTAAAGAACTGGCTCGTCTCATAGGAGATCGGGATAACGCTGTACGGTCAGCCGCCTTGAATTGTGTGGCTACAGCATACTTCTTGGACGGAGAAAGGGTTTATAAGATGATCGGACAGGTGAGAAAGATTATATTAGATAAAATATACTACATAGCGAGTAACTTGATAAATTTTTGGTGTAGTGGGTATAAATTTGCGCTTGTATACTTAGTGCAAAAAAGTGGGAACTTTTGATGATTATCAGTAACAAAAACAATGTTAGTATACTCTAGAGAGAATATCCAATCACGTTGACAGAATTGTGCCGCATCATACCTATTACACCTAAACATCACATTCTGCGCATCGTTTCTTGTTAAATAACGCCCCGGCTACTACAACAGTCAATGAATCGCCTTATGTTTAATGGTATACATGTGAATATTTTTTTGAAATGATGCTAACAAAAAATGTTTCTCAAACTGTTATACTGTTAAGTCTCTAACAAAAATACTAGTGTTAATGTTATATAAAGGAAATGAGCCTTTATGGATGCTGTAATATTTGTATTTGCCAACGTAAATATTGTAATAATAATAATAAAAAATACATTTTTGAAATTTCAATTTTTAATATATCAATCGACTTTCTTAAAATTATCAATAACAAAACCAGATATACCATTATTATTCGTTTATTTCGTAACATTACACCGTGTTCCAAAGTTTAATAAAAACATATTATTATTATATAAACATCACATTTTGAAGTAATTTTCCATAATATAATATAAATAAATCGATTTTTAGATATCTGACAAAGATCTCTCGCTACTAGAGGAGCGTATCAAACGAGCTGGTAAGACACGAACAGCGGAGGAGCGTCGGGCGGGGCTGGTGCCGCTGTCGGCTGGTGGCAGACCTCTCATGCACGCTGTAGAGGTACACACACACACACACACACACACACACACACACACACACACATGTATTTGACACTTGACAGACCATATATATTCTTCTTCTTCCTGGCAATTTCCCAACTATAGCCAGGGTCTGCCTTACATGTTGTGAATAGTTTTGGCTAATTGTTTTTACGACCGGCTCCTGTCTGACATCAACCATCTTTTGGGATCCAGCATTAATCAGTGATATACTCTTAGAAAGTACATATGACTCGGAAAAATCACATTGGTACTTGCCCGGGCCGGGATCGAACCCGCGCCCTCGGCGACGAGATTATATATATTATGTATTTGAAATTATTACCTCATTCATAGTAAATGTATTTCAATATTTGTAATACTTTTTGGAAGTATTTGTACTACTAGTATTTAGGTAGTGGAGTAAGATGAGAAGGAAAAATTCTCTTAAATGTGAATGGTCTAGGAATTCCTTTATATTTAATATGTTTGGGTTATACGGTTTGAATATGTAAAATTTGCTTTTAAAAGTCAATGATGTTTTATTTATAATATATACAAAATAAACACAAACGATGAAAATTATATTATACATATAAAAAGACCTAAAATAAGAATACTCTGTGTATTTATGTTTTTGAAAACAAAAAACATTCCATATCAATTACTCATACTAAATAAATTTATACTTCAAACGATATCAATTCAAATATCAAATATGTACAGAATTATCGTAATTTGATATCTGTCTATTATCATATCATTAATGTTTTATTGATAGTTTATTAGATCTGTCAACATAATATGGTTACATAAATCGTATTTCAATTACTTATTAATAATTATATTTAAAATATTTATTTAATTGTATTATTAGCAAGAACCAGAACCACCACAAGAGGAGCCCGCTCCGGAATATGAGGAAGAGGAAATTGAAGAACAACCAGTTGTGGTTCAACCGTTAGTACTTTATTTATCCCTACTAATATTATAAATGCGAAAGTAACTCTGTCTGTCTGTATGTTACGCTTGCACGCTTAAACCACTGAACTGATTTTAATAAAATTTGGTGCAGAGATTAAGTTAACCTTGAGAAAGAACATAGGATAGTTTTTATCCCAGACTTTTGAAAGATTCTCTTGGAAACGCGATATAACCGAACTCCACGCGGCCGAAGCTGCGGGCGGAAAGCTAGTGTATATATATTTTATTTTATAGGTTTGTTCAGTGAATTTTGCTTATTTTGAACTGCATCTTAAAACAAAATTGCACTAAAAGAACGCGAAGTTTTTTTTTTATATAAAGATATGCCGAAAATGTTTTTACATGTACATATATTAATCAATTTAAAAAATATATGTGGTCATATAGCAGAACTGTTTGAAACCTATTATGTTTAAAATGACCTCGTTTGCCTATTTATTTGTCTGTTTGTTTGTAATGGCTAATCTCTGGAATGACTGGATCGATTTCGACGGGAATTACACTGGCAGGTAGGTAATGTCAAAGAGTAATTTTGACTATACTTGAATGAACTTCATAAAAGAATGAGGTTCTTAACAAGCTCATGTTTGTTATCCTATCAATTAGACAGCCACAGGCAATATCTGGTTTCTAGAATAAAAAATAAATTGTTTCAAAGATATTATAGAATAAGTTTTAATGTAATACAATCTGGACTCACATATGCTATGAATTAAGTAAATAGTTGATAATTACTATTATTATTATTTTTTTCATTCAATAGGCCGGTGAGAGCAATGACAGAGCCGAAAGTAATAACGGGGCCCTTCAGACTCGACCCGGATCTGATTGCCAAGCTTGATGCGGCTGTCCCAGTGGTTCGAAAACCTGATTTACCCGAATTGGATTTGAAGTTCCTAGACGAACCTATACCTGTGTCTACTGTACGGAATGTTAGTGCACCGGTCAGGCCAAGGTATGAATATATATATATACTAGAAGACCCGGCGAACTTCGTATCGCCCTATAATCAAGAAATATCTGTTACGTTTTTTTATTTATATTTTTGGAGTTTACCTATTAAAGCCATAAATCTCCGTGTTTTGAATGGCGACAGAATGATTGACATATTAGTTAGTTGCCAAATCTAATGTCAAAAAAATACGTTTGTATCAACAACTACTAATAAATTAAAAATTAATTAAAAAAACATTACCCAGCGGACAAAACTGTGAATCTAAACCATTCCCAGATACCCTTGAACAAACACAATAAATTTCATCAAAATCGGTCCAGTCGTTTGAGAGATGTTCAGTGACATACACACTCACAGAAGAATTATATATATATTGAAGTTTTTGGTTCATATAATAATAGTTTTATGGAAAATTTGTCTATTGAACTAGATGATATAAATGTAGTAGATCTAGAGCAGATGAAACCTGATATACGAAAAACATCTTTATTGCTTTTTTTATATAACACTATGACTTTAAGAGGTCATTTAATATTATTTTACTAAGACAATTTACCTTGTAATACATGAATAAATATATATGCTTATTTCTAAATAGTATTGAAAATTGAGCTTATTATTTATATCAATAGATTTTAGTATATATGTATATATAATAATAATGTATATTATAATATATATTCCACAGTATGTCTACCCTATCTCCGTCCCGAGCTACTCCTCACCTAGCACCTCTCAAGCCGGCCCTCGATGACACTCAGCTAGCTGACACCATACATTCTATATCGAGCCCGGATCTCAATGTGAGTTTAAATTGAAACAATATAAACTCGTATAGAAAAACAACATTTTTTCAATAAAAATGTAATTTATATGGAAATTATAGTATTGTTGTGTCAATATAGACACAGTTGCCGTCATGCTATACAAAGTAGTTTATTTTTTTAGTATGCAAAAAGTGTGACACATAATTTATTTGTACCTTTTTATATTAGAAATCCATAGAGAAGTTATAGCGAAAGTTATTATTATAGCTTCGCGGCCGCAGCTCCGCCCGCGTGGAGGTCGGTTATATCGCGTTTCTAAGGGAACCTTTCAAAAGTCTGGGATAAAAACTATCCTATATTATTTCTCAAGGTCAACTCTATCTCTGTACCAAGTTTCATTAAAATCAGTTCAGTATTTTAGGCGTGAAAGTGTAGCAGACAGACAGACAGAGTTACTTTCGCATTTATAATATTAGTATTGATGTATACATCTTCTCTTATCATCATCATCATAAGCCTATCAGAGCCCACTGCAGAGAAAAGGCCTCTTTTTCACATGGAGAAGATTTGAGCATTAATCACAGCGCTCGCTCAAGACGGGTTGGCGATTTCAAACTTATAATTTGAAATTAAAAGTCTAGTTCCTCACGATGTTTTCCTTCACCGTCTGTTAGTGTCTAAATACTCTTAGAAAGTACATATGACTCGGAAAAATCACATTAGTACTTGCCAGGTTTAGAACCCGCGTCTTCATACATGGGAAGTGATCCTTTAACTTAGCCAACTATACTTATGTTATCATTTATTATACCTAAGAGTTATTATAAGTGTTACAATACCTTAATATATATTTCCAGGCGGCTATCAGAGCTCTATCCCTGATATCCGGTACTCTAGAATCAGGTCGCGGGGCGGCTGTCGCGTCCCACGAAGCGCGACTTATATCAGCGGTAGCCGCTCAACTACGAAGACTAAGAATGACGCCCGGACCCGCTCAACACACTCTGCAGGCGTATAAATGTTTGGCGCAGTCATTGTCTACTGTGAGTATAACACACAAGATGAACCTTTAGTATAGTCCGTTACACTTAAGCTGAGCTTTGCATTGAGTGAGGGAAAGTAAAAGTACAGTTAGACAAAAAAGTTATAGAATTAAATTTTGTTATAATTTAAATAAATACATAAGTGCGAGAACTTTTCTAGATTAAAAATAAAATAAACATAAACATAACTTGTAAAGGCCAGATGGAAATCTATGGAAAAAAATTATTAATTAATAAAAACTTTGAAAATTCTACAAATTTTTCTTCACTTGACATTGCGTTTTCAATATTTAACGTTGCTACCAGTACAAAGGGTGAAGTGCGGAAGGTGCGGGTCGGAGTAAAAGCAAAATAAACTGGTTCGAAACTATAAAAGAACTTGGCAAAAAATTGACATAACACCTACACTATCCGTGTGCACTCACACAAATGCAAAGCTCAGCTTAAATCAAACGCACTATACAAGCTTGCATCCTAACACTATATAGCGTTTTTTTCCGTTTTTACTCAAGTGCGAAGGTATATAGAATAGAATAGAATATGTGAATATGTAGAACTGCATCAATTACTATGTTGATATTTAAGAGAGACTTAAAGATGATACACGTTACGTATCGACTGTAGGAGAAACAGATATGATAATTTCTGTGGTAGTTTTATATTAATTCTGCTATCTAGACATATAAAAGTATGACTAAAAATAACGGACGGACAAGATAAAAATAATTGTTCATCTTGTCCGTCCGTGATCACGTTTGGTGCTAAGTAACCGAATCGTTTGGAGTATGTAGTTTTTAAAAAATAATATGAAAAAAAATTTTTTTCATTCAAATGAATACTCATGAGTCTCATTAAGACAAATAATATATTTTTTACTAGCTTTCCTCCCGCAGCTTCGCCCGCGTTGAGTTCGGATATATCGTGTTTCCAAGAGAACCTTTCAAATAAAAATTATCCTATGTTCTTTCTCAAGGTCAACTCTGTCTGTACCAAATTTCATTAAAATCTGTTCAGTGGTTTAGGCGTGAAAGCCTAACAGACAGACAGAGTTACTTTCGCATTTATAATATTAGTAGGGATACTTTATTTCAATATATTTCCCTCTTAGTTCTACGAGACAGCCGGTTGCGGTAGACAAGTGGGTGAAGCAGCGCTAAGGTCTCTGCTGGGCGAGTTATTACTAGTGCTTGGAGCGTCACCCGCTACGCCGACTACAGAAGCAGAACGTATCGTCAGAATACTCAATAACGTCTGCGTTAGAGTTCTAGAACATTCACCACGCACAGCGTTGTTATGGTGGGTACACACTGACACTTACAAACATAAATTTCTTATATAATATATATATATACTATGTAGAAGACCCGGCGAACTTCGTATCGCCCTATAATCATGAAATATCTGTTACGTTTTTTTATTTATATTTTTCGAATTTACATATTAAAGACATAAATCTCCGTGTTTTGAAGTGCGACAGAATGATTGACATAATAGTTAGTTGTCAAATCTAATGTCAAAAAAAAACCGTTTGTATCAACAACTACTAATAAATTAAAAATTAATTAAAAAAACCATTGTCCGGGGGATAAAATTGTGAATCTAAACCATTCCCAGATCCTTGAACACACACAAAAAATTTCATCAAAATCGGTCCAGTTGTTTGAGTAGTTCGGTGACATACACACTCACAGAAGAATTATACAGGGTGACTGGTGAATTACTATCGATATTTGAGGACGTGATATTTGACGATCATATATGACAAAATAAAAAAATAATATAACATAAATATTAATAAACTTCTAAGTAAAGTTAACCAAAAGTTATGTAATTAATTACGCATCGTGTGAACACCCTATAGATTAGGTATACACACACACACACACACACACACACACACACTCGCGCGCGGCGGCGTGTTGTTGTATCAGCCCGCCGCCGCACGCGTCCACACTTGGAACACTTGGAACGTGTCCACACTTTATTTATTTATACGGAAATTTGGTCAAAAATTAAGTACCTATTATTTTTACATAATTCGAATGAGAATCATGTACCGAGTATGCTCCGTAAATATTGATAGTAATTCACCAGTCACCCTGTATATATAAAGATATATTTAATGAGTTTTTATATTTTACAGTGCAATTATATCACTTCTACACGACTCTATAGTCGAATCCGACCCGGCATATCCCAGATACCAAGATTTATTACTGAAATGTTTTTGGAAGACTTTGAAGATGATACCCACGTGGGATGTTAACTCTATAGATTACGACGCTGTGTTGTTCAAGATACATCTCTTCTACAAGGCCTACCCTAACAGTTATTGGAAGAAGAATCCTGAAATAAGCGACACTCCTTATAGGTAACAAAAAAGTTCTAGAACATTATTACGAAGACTCATTTGAATAACATTATATTTTTCGTATATGTTCGCGCGATTTATCATAATACATTTTACCCGAGGTTTTGTTAACTGTTTGCAACAATTTTCATATCGCCCGTCTTGTTAAAATTTTACGAAAAATAAATCCTTTGATGACTATTATTAAAATGAAGAAAATTTGTAAATTTTGTATAATAATAATCGTGCATTTCGTGTTTTTTCGAGCGGTTTCAACTCACTTTTTTTAAGATACACACATGTATATCGTGGGAACAAAAATTAAAAGTAGAAATTCTATAAGCAAGTTTTATAAATTCTATATTGCATTGTAATGATATTTTATAATTGTATGTTTTTTTATTTATATTTCTAGAACTGTCAAGACTCTAGTCCACACACTAGTCAAGATGAAGGGAGCGTCGATAACCAACCACCTCACACAGATACCTGACGTCAATGAATCAGATTTATATCCTTACTTACACAAAGTACTCAAGGTGAGATATTACACAAATATACTATAAATATGTTGCTTGATAGATAGGGTCCCTTAAATCTACACCTGGGTCCCAAGTCCTAGGCACTGTTGAAGCTCTTCTCCCTGCAAAGATGATGGACCCGACCGTAAATACATTGAATGTAGAGAAATTTCATCTCAATAATCAGACTAAAATAATATTAAACTAAATGTTAATTATTTGACATAAATCTATTTTAAGTAACTAAGTTTAGACTGCAAATTGTGTATGACATAACACATAAAAATGCTCGTATTGGATACATTTTCGAAATTATATTATAATACTAATCATGTTTTAAATAATATCAAATTTTAACAATTTTTTTTATAATGAAGGATATTTTTTTGTTATATATATTTAAATTGATTGTTTTTTTTTCACAGCAACTAAAGCTAGACGAGCGTAAAGAACCAGAAGTAGTGAACAACGGTGTTCCACCGAGCTCTATGAACTCATCGCTACAAGCCGGCCGGTTACCGCGGGGAGTACATGATGAGTTAGCAGCTATACTCAAGAGAATCGGCTCTAAAGAACATAATAGGGAGGCGCGTTATCACAGCTGTATGATCTACGGGTGAGATATACTGACTTGTATATGTGTTTGATTTAGACACCACTGACATATGAAGGAAAAACATAGTGAGGAAACCTGGACTTATAGTTATTTATTTATTTATTTAACTCTTTTTTGTACACCACAATTACAGAAAAATACAAACTAAAAAACTAATGGTAAAACAAAAGGCGGCCTTATGGCTTAGTAGCCATTTCTTCCAGACTACCTACTAATAGTTTCACAATTATAAGTTTGAAATCACCAACCCGTCTTGAGTAAGTGTGGTGATTAATACTCAAACCTTCTCCATGAGAGAAAGAGGCTATGCTCAGTGGTGGGCTCTGATAGGCTGATGATACACATATGTGTTGAATATAATAAAAGATAGTTTTCATACAGAAAAGTGCTCTATATTGAGGTACAGGTCAACTCGTAATGTTTAAAACATGAGTGTAAAATATCACATTTCTTTTAGTTTCTCCTAAAATATGATGTGATTATCTTTTTTTACTGATAACCGGGACAAATATGAATTATATACATATGTAGATTTGAGGTCAGTCTGATATAGATATGTAAGCTAGTGTCAAAATTTATGAAATCACTAGTAAACCTGGCGAACTCCGTTTCGCCACCAGAAGGCTTTTATATAACATTTCGTTTGGTGATTAAAAGATGAAGAACTTTTTGTTTTATATTTGAAAAGGAAAATTTTTATTTCATTTCACAACAGTAATGAATTCATTTCGATTACAAAAATGAAGTGTTATTTAGTTGAACTTCACTAAGTAAATGAAAGTGAATCCATAGTAGATACCGAATCGAAGCGTTATACGTGTCCGCAAATTATCCGTTTCATTGAAGTGCTCCTTTGTAAACCACATTTTTTGTTTTTTTGTCTAACTTTAACACAAATAAAGCGTATGGTTTCCAAACTCGTGAACATACAAAATATAACTGCCCATGTGAAAAACAATGATTTTCTAAATTTATCCCGCAAATACTAAATGGTTTTAAGAGTTCAAACTACAAACACATTACCTAAATATTTTTATTTTTATATAATAGATTTCTTACAAATATCTAATTGTCATCCCTACGTCATTACATATCTGTCATTATACGTCAATTGCATTGCTGTCAATTGTGTTATTCCACGTTTTATAGTGACTGACGTTTCATGTCAAGTCCCACGGGAATGCTGTCGAACGGGATAAAAAGTATTTTATTGCAATTTCCTGGTTCTAAACTACCTCCCTGCCAATTTTCAGCTGAATCGGTTCAGCCGTTCTTGGGTTATAAGTGAAGTCACTAACACGACTTTCTTTTATATATATATATATATATATATAGATTATTCTTTAATTTTACACATTCGACATAAATAAATAAATTAACTATGTTACTCAGAAGATTGAATCTAGAAAAAAATTGAGTAGCTGTGTTTTCTAACAAGTCTGTAGTTTTCTTTTAGAGAATATTTAGTATTATACCAGGAATTATCTGAAGATATAAACATTAAATCTTCAATTTGTAGTCAACAAAAATTAAATATGATTATTTTATTTTCTGTATTAAGAAATGTGTTTTTTTTTTTTTCTATATAATATATGTGGTTTTAAATTTCAATATCATATACAGGAACGTCACCCAGAAGTAGACATCTGGACTTTCATGCAAGGATCGTCATTCTACTTCAGAAATTACGTGGAGCGAGGTTTGAGAGAAAGTGGGCTGATCAAAGGAAAATGGCTTCCGTCTGTCCATATATAAAAGCGACTTTAAAAACTGATAATATTGGTAAGTGTGGCTCAATATTAAATAAAAACAAAGATTAAGCATGTCTAAAAGCATAAAATCATATTGAGAAAATAATAAATATCACGTCAATAAACCTTATATAATATTCGTAAATTTGACAATAAAATTTGGATATTAATTTATTTCATATATTTTCCACAGACATAACTAACGAAAACGATGAGAAGACTCACGTTATATTTTTGGAACGCTTAAGAGCACTGCAGGTATGTACTATTAATTTATTTTTATACTATGTGGACTATACTACAGCTGCGTGCAAAAAGTATTAGGCACCCCTATTGTTAGTCACTATCTCATTATATTGCGGTCAAGTGTGTGTTTTATGGTTTAGCTATTGTATTAGCGGCAATTTTTAACCAAATTAAGATAAAAGAAAATATGACATCCAGGTGTGCTCCTAAGCGGGTGTTTCTTCGAAATTTGCTTTTTTTGCGTTTCGGGTTATAGTGTGTTATCAGTGCTTGCAGTGAACATACACGTCTTCTACGCAACTATTCCTATCACAATTCTAAAGACTAACATTTAACGTGTTAATCATGCCGAAAAAATCTGAACTTAGTGCTGAACAGCGTCTAAGAATTAAGTTTTTACATGAACAAGGCATGTCTCAGGTTAAAATAGCCCGAGAAGTGAAGTGCTCGCGATGTGCAGTTCAATATGCTATAAATCGCTTTAAAGAGACTGGCACCCATGAAAATAGACCAAGAACAGGCAGAAGAAAAGTTACTACTGAACGGGAAGATCGATTGTTGATTAGGCAGTCTCTACAAAACAGGAAAAAAAAAAATCACTGCTTCAGAGCTCGCTGCAGCATTATCTGAGGCAAAAGGCAGCTCAGTGAGTGTTTATACTGTGAGTAGAAGACTTCTTAAAGCTGGATTAAAAGGATGTAAAGCAAGGAAGAAGCCGTGGCTGTCAGAAACACAATAAGAAAAATCGGTTGGAGTGGGCACTCAAACATAGAAATTGGTCAGTGGAAGATTGGTCCAACATACTGTGGTCAGACGAATCTAACTTTGAGGTATTGTTATTTATTTTATGTACAATATTAAAAACACATAAATGTTTTTTAAAAATAACGTACTGCAAGAAAAAATAATAACTTTGAAAATAAATGTGTTTTTTTTTCGTTTGGCATAGGTGTTTGGAACACCCGGTGTGACTTATGTTAGGCGAAGGGTTGGCGAAGAATACAACCCAGAATGTGTGGTTCCCACTGTTAAGCATGGTGGAGGCTCAATAATGATCTGGGGCTGCATGGCTGCCGACGGAGTGGGCGAAATGGTATTGTGTGAGGGACGAATGAATAGTGTTAAATACACTGAAGTTCTGGAAACAGCACTAGCAACGTCGATAACGCAAATTTTTCGGTGATACAAACACCGATGGCCTGAAATTTCAGCAAGACAACGCCACTTGCCACAAGTCCGCGCATACCATGAAGTGGTTTGCTGAAAATCATATTTGATCTTTTGGACTGGCCACCACAAATCACCAGACCTCAACCCGATTGAGCATATTTGGTCCATTTTAAAGAAAAATATCCGCAGCCACTCGATTAGCAATAAACAAGCTCTATTGGCCGCGTTACAGCAGGAATGGAAAAAATATATCAAGAGAAGAATGTTTTTTTCAGGCTGGTAGAGTCAATGCCAAAAAAGAGTGGCTGCGGTTATTTAAGTCAAAAGGTGGACCTACAAAATATTAATTATTTTCTTAAAATAAACCATTGTAATCATAAATGCAGTTTTATTTAGACTCGCTATGCTAAAACACCCTAAAACTTGTCTTACTGTAGGGTGCCTAATACTTTTGCCCGTGGCTGTGTTAATTTTGTATACTATACTATGTATGTACTATACTATTAATTTGTAATTTTCCTATAGTGATCATCATTTAATACATTATATGTTTGTAGGCTAAAGCTGGAATTAAAAACTGAATCGAATCCTTCGTCCCAGCCGCGGACTCCGAGTGACAATCGAGCGCTCACTGATTCTATAACAGAGAACAGTTTGCCAAGAACACATAGCTTGGACCCACAACTGGAGGTATTTTATGATATATAATGATAAAAACCTTAAATTAATCAGCGTAATTCAAAATGTATTATATTATGCAATATGCATAAAACCTCTTTTCGTGATTAATGCTGTAAATAGAACTGTTGATGCTGTACGACACCTATAAGTCTTCTATAAATATTTTTATATTACACTATAGAATATAGGCAATAATGTTTAAAAATATATCTTTGTTGCTCAAAATTATGTTAATATAAGTATTGCACATCATTAGATTGTTAATTGCTAAAAAAACAACAGACAAACGCATTTAGTAAATATTTTTATTTACTGTCGTTAGTGACTACAGTTTTATTCTAGGTTAACTTTCATATAACCAAAATTAATTACAGGTGATATGTACTGGTTTATTATTTATATAATACATTATATAATAATTGTTTCAGCTCCACACGACGCAACAAGTATCTATAAAGAAACGAAGCGGCGGTAGACGCGCTGCGTCTCAAACTCCAGCAAATCAAGAGCTCGTCCAAGAGATAAACGATATCACGAAATAATAAATCATCTTCATTTACTGTGTGCCTAGAAGTTTAGTCTACAACGTTCCAGAGTTTTTCATCATAAAATCTTCCTGGCAAAGGTTTTCATATAAAAAAAAACTAGGGAACGTTAGGTTTTCGAGTCGAAAAAAAAAAATGTAAATTCATAAGGCACAGTTCACATTTACACACATTTCCTTGGGATGCGACGCCCCCGTGCGCTAATCGTACTTTAGTTAAAATCTGTAGTAGTAATTCGGTTCGTTAGTCGCCACAGCCCCTTGCTTTGAATGACATGACAATAGTTATAAAACAGTATATTTGCAGGGTAAATTGTTTTCGATTAGTGAGGGGCTAAGATCTGACGTCATCGGCGCGGTCTTGCCAGGAATTGGATAAAAATATTAGATATTTGTGTGTACTTGCAAGTGTTGTTGATTGTTGAAGCGAGCGTATGCACGTTTGAAATACTCGACTTGAAATTTGAAGCCCCACTATTTGTAAAAAAATTATGTAATGTTTATTTTTGTTGCGTGTAACACTGAACTAACTTTCCGTCTCTTAGCAGCCAGTAATTAACAGAAAATATAACGAAAAAAAATAATATTTTAATAAGCTATGTATGATGTATCTTCCTAGTAAATGATAGAAAATATGCAAAAAAAATAATATTCAATTATCCAGTGACATGTTGATTATTTTACGAGATCAATGTAGTCTTCATCATAATTGAAAACTACGATTGATGTGTAATCCCATTGTTTTCTGTTGTATTTTAGTTTTAATGTTTTTGTATATGAATCTGAAGATTGCAATTTAAAAACTACTCATTATATGTACTCATAATAAAAACGTCTCGATATTTAAAGTTTTGCAATCTTGAGTTCTATATTTGAAATGTATTGTCTATTGATTGATTGATTTTGTTTAATGAGTTTTAAGACTGTTAGGCTTGAAAGGAGTATCCCAATTTCGTGTTGTGTTTTGCAGTCATCCACTAAGTTTGTTTATAAACTTTATATAGCTGCGATGAGGCCATATTGTTATTATTAACACCTATACCTATACCATTAACCCACAAAATTGTTACATTCCCACATAATTGGAATTTTATGTACCTTTTTCAATTTATCTTATTTTAATTGACATTTTTTAATAATTTTTTTATATGCTCATATGCACAGTTTTGTTGACTGTCACCCGTTGAAGTTCCCTATTGCAAACTTTTTAAATAAACTACGTTAATGTTTCCGTTAAAAATTTCTTAACAGTGAATGATTGAAAAGTTAATTGTTGTAAAACTGTCAGTTGTCAAAGTTATGTGTAAGGGCAGTTTATAAAACGACTGATTCATTCTCCATTTTACACTCGCACTATTATGATTCAATAATCACACTTGATGTTATATTTCTTTATCGATTGTTACATATTGTTGACGGATTCTTGAATGTTAAAAAAAAAGGACGGAAACGTGTTGAGTTGAGAATGTAAAACTATATTTTTAATACTTATTTTCATTTTGTCTTTCTTTTCTACCCTATAAATATAACATTCGGAATTAATGAAGAATTAAAATACTTTACATAGATCTAGTGTTATTATGTTTCTTTAGTACTGCTTTTTTATGATACTTGACTACATTTGAGCATTTATTTATTTTTAATGTATTAAATCATGATGTAATATTGATAAATAAATTCATACTACACTTAGTATTCTTATTTATAAAAACCTTGGTATGTTTAAAAAACTTCGTAAAACGTTACATCCTACTAATTTTATGATTGCGAAAGTTTTTGAAATCCCGGAAATCCGCGAGTAACAGCGCGGGGCGCAGCTAGTATGAAATAAAGTCGAAACCTTCAAAGTAAATAAGTGAAATATGATCCTGAGGTAGAATACAATTTGTAAAAAAAATAAACCATAAATAAACACACATTTCAAATAAATAAAATAGAATTTTCTATCAATCAAGAATCAGTTAAAAAAATAAAGTGGCAGTGATTCATTTGTACGTCGCTATTTGATTGTGTGTGGGTAGGAAGCTGCCACGATATAATTTGAGTCAAACATTGATTAAAACCATTTTGAACAAAACGATTCTTTTGTCGGATAAAAGTTTCTTATTAATAATTATAATTATCAAAATACTTCGAAGATAAAATCTCTATGGAGTTTGATTTTATATGTCAATTCCATCTATGGAAAGTTCATAGACAACTAGACAAGCAACCAACATTTGAGTGAAATGAAATGAAAAGTTCGCTTTCCGCCCACATGTCCGCCATATCTACTACATTTTCTTTCTGATAGTGACGTTAATATTATTTTAATTTACACAGTGGCGTGGTGTAGATATTTGTTGTTAATTTAATTAATTTTAGTTTATCGAAATCGCGGTAAGTAAGATGTGGAAGCGGCATTTTTTTTAAAAAAGTGTAATTATGTAGTTTTAGTCACGACATGCTCTACGTATTGTCAACATGAAAAATCAGTTTTGTGGTTGATAAGATTTTTAAGTAATTAATTGGTTTACTATGAGGGAGACTGGACTGACTTCTAAAGTTTAAGTGGCTCGTGTGCAGTGTGAATTCTAAATATAAAAATGAATTTTTTCGCAGACCCCGGACAAGCGAAATAGCGATGGAGTCGCCTAGAAAATTTAACGATTGCTATTTTTATTATTACTCGACATGCACTAAGGTACGTGACTCTCAATATAGTTTGATTGCGAGACAATATACTTTACAATGATATGAATTGTAATTAATTTAAGTTTTAAAAAGTTTTGTGAATTGTGTAACAACCTTTGAGAATCGATTAAACGTAAATTAGTTAAAAGGTTTATCAATATATCTTGTAGCATAACTTGTAAAAAGTTTTGTTTATAATGTTCTATATATACCACGCCACATCCTGAGTGGGATATATGATTTAGTATTTGCTGATGCAATGACACAACTAAAAAGTTTTTGTAGGATATTGTGTTCTTGAAGTCCATAGATATTCTTGATTAACATACATACAACTGTCACAATCATTGTATGACACATGTATCACATTTGATAATAGAAATTTTCTTCTAATCCTTGTTAAGCAGACATTAATTTGCCAATTATTTTGTAGGAGATAATTGTATGTTCCGTCATGAAACCCTCCGCATTGGGTTGTGAGACAATGTGTACAGCCTGGCAGCAAGGAAAAGTGCTTGGACAAGTGCTGCAAGCTAAGGCACATGGAACTAAGGGTTAGTAACTTAATATTTGTCTCAGTCGCAACTTTTATTTATCTTAAACTATATATAACTATCCATAGATATCACTAATGTTTTTATAGTTATTATTGTCATTAGTAACATTACAATATTATATTAAAGAAAAACCGCAAGCAAATTCCTTGCTATTGGGAGAACCAGCCGGGCGGTTGTCAAAAGAAGCATTGCCCCCTTCATGCACAAGAATCCAGATGCACGCTCCGATGGAATTGCACCGAGCCAGCCCACACCTGTTGTCAGTGTATGTGACTCGATGTTATATAGGATAAATACTTAACATCAATTAAATACATCAATTATTTTACCCAAACTCAGATATGCTTATATCAAGTAAAATAAAAGTAATTACTCATTGAAATGGTGGTGGCCTAAAGGTAAAAAAGACCCGCCTCTCATACATCAGGGCACGGGTTCGAATCCGGCAAAGTATTTAAAATACTACTGACAGACCGTGAAGGAACACATCATGAGGAAACCGGGACTTATAGTTTCACAATTTATAAGTTTTAAAACACCAAGCCATCTTGAGCAAGCATGGTGATTAATGCTCAAACCTTCTTCATGTGAGAAGAGCCCTTTGCTTTAGCAGTGGGCTACAATAGGCTGATGACGTGATGACTCATTGAAATATTCATAATCTTTTCTAATGTCATCTATATACATATTAATTGACAGCAATTATGAAAAAAAAATTATACTTAATTATCATTTTCCTTATTGTATTATATCTTGAGCAAGCATGGTGATTAATGCTCAACACTGCTCCATTTTAGAAGAGGCCCTTGCTCAGCAGTGAGCTCTGATAGGCTAATGACATGGCAACTCATTGAAATATTCATAATCTTTTCGAATGTCACCTATATACAGATTAATTGACAGCCATTATGAAAAAAATTTATACTTAATTATCATTTGCCTATTTTATTCCAGGCCCAAGTAGGCATTGAGACAGCCGTCGAAAGTGGGTGCTGGAGTCCCAACCTTACCTCCACAAGCCCCGGCCCCTACACCAGTACCTCTGTTATGGCAGCAACAAAGACAACAAGGTTTATATTACATTTTGGAACAGAAATAATTCCTACTACTAATAGAATGTGCAGATTTATGAGGTCCGACTGTGTTTTACATTTGAACAAGACAAGCAATACCTACTAATAGTATAAACCTTCATGATTTATATGGTTCAGGTGTATAGATATTTGTAGCTTAAAAACAACTGAATCGATTTTGATGAAACATTCCAATGGTGATTTAACAGAAATCTATTGAATTTCTTCAGTTGCCATGGAATGAATGTTGCTTTTTAATATGATGTCACATACATACATTATAATTATTCTCTCTGAACTCAACTTTGAAATCCAAGCAATAAAATTTACTCATAAATAACTGATACAGTATTAGGTTACTTTAGCTTTTATTGAATATTTGCATCTAGGACTTCTATGTTGCCCGGATTAAAAATGTGTTCTTAATAAATAGAGGTGAAGTGTTGAGATGGGAATTGCCTATTGACTGTTTTAGTTATTAAATAAAATGGACCATTCTCCAGACAAGTTTTAAAAGCAAAATATACATACATTTTTATTTTATTTCAAATGACTATTGCTGATAGACAATAAGTATAAGCAAACCATGTGATTAAGTCCAGACTAGACATGTCTTTTATATGCAACCAAATATACATACAAGTTTCCTTATCATGAACCATATATGCAATTTCTTTGATTGATAAGTTTGTGTGAGATATTCCATCTTAATATAAATTAAGTTCCGTAACTCGGTCATTCTTTAGATATAATATAACCAACATCATATAATATCTTTCAGTGGTGCTAGATTCAGCGATCCTAGGTGTATTGCCGGGCAGCAGCGAGTTTCCTAGACGTGTGCATGCGCACGCACACGCGCACACACACACGCATGCTCACGCGCACGCCCACGACACTACATACGTGCCCGTTGACCCGCTAGTCGTCAGCTTCGAAGAAGGTATGCGCCTCTACTGAAACTACACCCCTTACACGTTTGAGAGACGCTTCTATTAGTGCTTCATATATATATATATATTATGTCAGGGTAATAGATTATTAATGATATATATATATATATCTTAAAACTTGAAATTTGGAGTCTAAATATTAAATTTATAGCCATAATTAGCCACCATTATAATTATATTGCCCTGACAACGACACAAAATGAAATTAATTGTGTTTAAATATTATTATTATGTGTTTATTTAATATTAATGTGGACAACTTGAATAATATGAACCAATGATGCAATTATATGTATACAGTTTATAGGAAAAGCTAAAGGCAGACAAAAATTTCATACTAATAATGTCATCTAGTTTCTATGTATTTAATTGTTTTATATTATTTAATTTTCAAACATTATATACTGTGAAGTATTGATGATTAATTTCATATGTATACATATTGATTGTGCCTTCATGTATGTTAGTACAGCGATGCAATAATGCGGTTGTTATTAATTATAACTGGTTGTTCACATTTCAATGTATTTGTTTTGTGAAAATGGTTCTGTTTATTTGCAAGTTTATATAAGCTGTATAAAGGAACCGTTTTAATGATAGCATATGTAGTTTAATTAATGAAAGGCGTCGATACAAATCTCTCAAACAGTATAAAGGGGATTGCGGTTGAATCTGCAAAACTATAGTTCTTTTAATATAGTGTACGGACACTAAAGTGAAAGATTAGTGAATGTGAGCTATGTATGAGATAAATACCAGTCACACGAAACTATAGAAGATTTATAAGTTTGTAACACTATGATTAAGATGAAGCCATTCTGTTGTTAGTGTTGCCATATAAGAAATATTAGATGAAAATGAACTGGTATACTCAAATTCCTGGTGTGAGTGTTATAATTAAGATATGCTTAGATGCTGTGGCACCTATTATAGCAAAGTTATAAGATATAGCGGAAACAAAAATAAAAATTTCTTTGCATGTGCCAACACTGATGAGATCGCATAATATGTATTGGACTAAGTATGAGAAGGGTGTTAGAAATATTATTTATTTTTATTTAAGGTTTTTTTTCTGTTTTTTTATTATATTTGTTTATGTAACGGTCTCGATGCATAATTCATAGAGGTGAATATTTAGCCTGAATTATTATAGAAGTGATTTTTTTTTTATCGGTTAGTCAATTATATAGCGTATATGAGGAATTTTGTTCTTTTAGGATTTAAAAATGTGTTTATTGAATCCTTGATATTTATTTTTAGTGCAATGTATTAGCCAGAAGGGGCAGCGTTATGTTATTCAGAGGGCCATGTATGAAGTACCCTCATATTATTAGTCACTCATATCCTTATACGGCTCTATGGTAATCTGAAGTCTGTTTTTTTGTATGTGCAATAATAATAGTACTTCTATGTCGAGTCTAGCCGTGTAGGGTACATTTGCTTTTTGTTTTATAGTTTTACATAACATAGCCGGCCAGCGGTTGGTCTGTAACTAAACATTTTCATAGTTGTTGATGTAATCTTTTGTCTTTTATAGTAAATAATGAATAGGTTTAATAAAATACAAAAAAAATATATATACACATTTATTATTACTCATTACTCTAAGTGATATAAAAAATGAAAAAAAAAAAAAAGCTTTATGCCTTTGAATTGTTTGTATATTAGTGGCAAGTGGCTGTACAGCGGTATATATGATGCGTGTCAACACTTTGCACCCTATTAGATAGATATCGTAAAAAAATGAAAAAAAAAATGTCTAGCAGTAAGGGGGCCCGGTACCACGAGGAAAAACGTGCTACCGGAGTTGTAAGAAACTATCGATTAAGAACATATTGAAAATTAACATTGATTTATATGATAAATAAATCAAATTATAGCTTAGCGGAAACGTCTGGTAATGCTTCCGAATATTTTAGCACTGTAGCCTTTTTACATTGGAAGGATAGTTATTATTTTGTTTTTCTTTCTTTTCTTTTTGTAATATTTTCGCACTAATAAAGTTCCTATAAATGAACTGCAAGTACCGACATGTTTTAGGGTTATGGCTAGTCATTGTATTATTTATATTAACACGGTGGAGGGTAGTTTGGTAAGTTCGGCTCATGTAAACTATGCTCGGACATTTAGTTGTCAGTACAAAGACCATTGAGTTATATTACGTTCGTTTCTCATATATTTAATTGATACCTTGTAAACTTGTAGCTTATTTTATGTTATGAATATGATTTTCTGTTCTCTTTGATCGAGCCATAGTTATTATATAGTGGTATCGAATGATTTTTTATAATTATATATATATCTTTTTTTGTATATCGACAAATGTTATTTTAGTTACTCACAATGAAAGGCTGGTTGGTTAATGATGGCAGTGCGTGTGGAAATTTGTACGGAATATATTTAATTAATTTTAGTACACTCACACATGTGAATGTGTAAACATGTGTGTTTTTTAGTTATGAGCGGTGTCAACACACATAGAAGTAATATAAAGGGGCGTGGCTTATCTCATACCCTTATATGTGTGTGTGTTGATGCTGTATAAGTTGTTTTGCATTAAACGGGGTTGTTGTTATGTTAGTATTAGTATAACGGTTGTATAAGATAACAATATTATATTATTTAGTATAACCGAGTGTGAAGAAGTTTCCTTTAAGATGATTAACACTTACAACTCATATAGGAACTGGTATTGGAATAAAAAAAGAGAATGTAGTTTGGCTTTGTTTTGAAATATGAATAAATATTAAAAAAAATTGTGTTAATTTATAAACAAGCAAATAAAATACGTTTCATAATATGATTTTTGTAATTATTTTTGATCAGTCCACCCCGGGGGCGTTTTCAGATAACACGGAGAGCACACCTAGTAATCGTGGTCGATACAAAAATAAATACGAAAATCATTGATTTTTAACATTTGACGGTAGTTTATTAAACGGGTTACTTGGTGTGTTCTTGCAGAGTCGGATAACGAAAGCGCCCCTTCATGTACCCCGACTAAGGTGACGGATGACGAAAGAAAAATAGCTAGGACCAAGTCACAGGAGCTATTGCTCCTAGAGAAGATACAGGCTGAGGCAGCGGCCTTCTATAGCTACGAAACGCTCCCTGACGCGCCCAAGGAGAGGAAAATAGTGAGGACCAACCTCACCACCAAGTATGATAGGGTGTCGCTAGACGAACTATCAGGCAAACAGGCCACGGAACAAAGGAACTCGTTAGACTTTAAAGTACTGTCGTTAGAGGAAATTAGGGCTAGGAAGAAAGTTTCAGAGGCTGTGATACACTCTACACCTATAACGTTGAATCTAAGTAGGAAAAGAAAACTGTCCACCCAAGAGACAATGACTACATCAGGTAATAAGATAATCAAAGTAGTTAGGAGCAATTCCATAGTTTATAAGAAGCTTGATAAGAATGCGCCCGCGCAGACCACACAAGCTAAAGTAGACAATAAGAAGTGTGATCAGAATGACAGCAGAAAGAGAACGCTCTCAGAACAGAGCGATCTGTACGAAGTAGAAGATGAATTAGAAGATAACTGTTATGAGTTTAAACGAATTAAAATAGCTGAACAGATACCTAGACCCAAGTTAGTTAGGAATAGGGGAGCGGTTAAATGTATGAGTGACGTCACAGAAACGGAAAACGGAAACGATGATTCAGACGGTGAAGTACAGTTTGTGAGTTTAGTGACGGATTGTAACACAGATATAAATAGTGGTGAGGTGATTGACGTGGACTCGACCAGGATGGGTGACCACGTGGATATAGTGGATCTATGCGAGGAACAAGATGATAATGAGATTACAGCATCTGATATAGACTTAGTTAAAAACGTACCGGACGTTGTGGCCAGCTGTAGGAGGTCAATGACCGATAACACAGACAAAGACATTATCACTAGTATAGATCAGCTGATACATGATGAATTATGATGTATATGTTAGCTGCTAAGATAGGGTTCATTTAAAATTTGTTTTTGATAGCGAGCTAGCTTTAGGCGTGACGAGTACAAAATTTAATTTCCGACATTGCCTTATGATGTGTCTTAAATAATATAGACCGATTTTTGATAAATTTTATAAGAAAATGATAATAATATGTTAGTTTGTATGTCACAGTTTAATAGTAAAACTTTTCGGAAGTTTCCATATACAGATAAAAATGAAAATTGTCAAAAAAACACCATTCGCCTTTTAAAGGTTTTCGCTGATAATAAAGTTATTCTTCCATGTATCTACAAGGTTTGTAGAAAGTTTTACTTTATGAAGTTATAAGTATGTTTTTTTTATATATAAAAATTTGATTAATTTCAAATTGAAATTGCTGTAATACAAGAAGAGCTTTAATTATATTATTTCAAAATTATGACTTTTATTGTAATTAATATATTTTTATATAAAATTAAACAAATGTATTTGATCCAAAAATTTATTATAATTACAATGCAACCATCGGAATGCATGACATCACACAAGTTATTCACATTTCATTATTCCATATACAGTTTTACAACTAATGTTAATAAATTCGAAACGAATACCCTAAATAATTGAAATATTAAATCACTTACACCATCTTAAAGTAATGGACTCGCTAAATGAGATTCAACTTTATAGTAGAGTTTGTTCTAACAGCGATACTAAAATGATCTCACTGTTGCAATAAAAACAATTTTATTGATTAATATGAAAAAAGAGAATTATTCTCATACATATTCAGACAGCGACTGAATGTTAGAGATTTATTCAGAGCATTCTTTTCTAAAGTTAATTTTTAAAACATTTACAACAAATATACATATTATATGTATTAAAATTACATTAATCTTAATCTACACTACCAAATGAATATTATAAAATAAATGTAACATTTATTATACATTAACACTATTAAATTATTTCATTCAAAGTTACATATAATGATACATACAAATACTTATTCAACATTTCCTACAGGGCTGTTTTACATTTAAAAATTTATATAAAATGTATGATACATCGAGAACTTTAGAAGTTATTATTATAAAATTAAAATTAACTAAATTTCTTTGCCAGCCCTTACAACTAGGTTTATAATTATTTGAATGAAATATTCTAATTTACATTTAAGTACATTTGAGCCTTCATTTGTGCTCGTTACCGGTTTGTGGCTATAGTTATAGATATGTTTATTCTTTATACTATTCTATATAATATATTAAATAAGGTTACATCTGCGGTAAGTATTTAGAATTCATCGAGGTGGCAACACAAGTTACATGAACTGAAAGGTAGCTAACTTACTTAATATATTAATTATTATTAATATTATTTGTGACCAGTCGTGACACGGACCTTCAACATATATCATTATTATTATTATCTTCATTATTTTCTCACTGTAATGTGTCCAGTTATTGATTGTAAAGGAAACGTAATATGTATGTGTGCGTGAATCAAATTGAAGAAGCATAGGTCAAGGTAGTGGTGTGTGTGTATAGTGCATTATATAAGTGTGTGCGTGTATGTCTTGTATGAACGTGTGTGGTACATGGTTTATGAGTGTGTGTGTGGGGGTTCATGTTTATGTAATGCTTATTTCAAGATTGTATATGTGGGTGTGTACGTGTTTATGTAATGCTTGTTTCATGTGTGTGTGTGTATCCATGTATATGGAATGCTTATTTCAAAGAATGTATATGTGTGTGTGTGGTTCTGTCCATATACATGTAATGCTTGTCTATCCGTCTGTGTGTGTGTGTGTGTGTGTGTGTGTGTGAGGTTCTGTCCATATACATGTAATGCTTGTCTGTCTGTCTGTGTGTGTCTGTGTGTGTGTGTCTGTCTACATCCACCATCGTCACTGTAGTCTCGGCCAGTACTGCTGCTCGTGTCCCGGCACAGCCAGCGGCACGGACACGCCCGCCCCGAGCAGCCCGCCGAGCTCTGTTACAACATGCTCTGTGTATCAACGGACCATCACTTGAACACGTTATATATGATTAAACATATTACATCTCGGCCAACGAAACGTGATAAAAAGTGTAAACAGACTATACGAATTAAAACACATTTTTATTTAGTGATGCTGACTTGAAAAAATATTTAAACTGATCTTCTTTGTTAAGATTAAAAAAAATTAAGTCAAATGATAGTCTATTTTAATCTATAAGTTACAAAAAAATGTTTAAGATGGAATGCCATCGTGAGGTTACTTGGAGAGGATCTGTTTGTCCACATTTTTTCTAGTTTCGTTGGCTTCAATTAAAGCAATAATAAAAATTATTTATTATCTTAAGGCAATTTGAAAGAAAATCGAAAGTAATTGTTCTTAATTACTATAATATTTGTGAAGGAGAATTTCCTTATTATCAAACTCTGAAATTCCCTTTTTTATATCAGGTTAAGAAACAGCTTTTATTAGATATTTTTCTACAGGAAAAAATAAGGTAAGCACTAAGTTTTACAGTACCAATTAGTTTTAGCAAGTAATTGGTCAATACTGGAAAATTTAAAAAAATGTCATGAGGTAAATATCACAGGATTTTGTTTAGCAGCTCTAGTTCTCGTTTCACACGAAAGTTATTCACTAATACATACATATATTATTTATTTAAGTACTTTATTCGCAACAGTAAGTAGTAGTATTATTTCTATGCTATCTTGACAAAGATTATTACAGCAGTCTGCTGTGACCGAATGCTATCTTTCTTTGAAAATTTTGTTCCATTGAGAAGAGTTCCAGATGAAACCTTCCACTTGTCTTCTTTAAAATTTACCCAAAACATAATTTAATGCTCCTGCTATCCCGAAATATTAATTACAGCTAGACAAAATGTAGTTGACCATTTGAAATATATATTTTTTTATGATTCCCAAGAAGTCTTATTCGTGTTTTAGTTAAAACACGCTTTTATCTTTTTACTGCTGCGTGTAGCTTTTAATAGAAGCAAATATTCGCGAACATTTATTGATTTTAAGAAACTGTTCAATTCTATTGAGTTTTCTTAAGGGATGGCCATTTACGACGGTTTTCAATGACTATTCTTATTATATTAATAAGCTATTAGAAACTCTCTAACGACGCTTCCGTATGTAATTGTTTTTTTTTCACTCGATATAGTGTATATGCATATCCTACTTGTTTTGAAGATAACTTTATTATTTTCTAATCTTCACAAATCGTCAATCATTACAGTATTTTAGATTTCCCAACTCAAAATAAATGATTTTAATTCGATTCTTCACAAATTCCATCTCATAGATTCATAAAAATTTAAAAATCTTTGACTGAGTTGTACATTAAAAAAAGAAAAAAATATATTTCTAAATTAGACTAAGATTCGACTTATTCTTCTTAAATTACCATATTTTCACTTTCAATGTGTGATAAAGATTTCTGTGGTCCTCGGGCTTGTGACTTAATATCGAGTTTAGAGAATTTATAGGTAAATTTAATTGCAAATGATAAATTAAGTGTAAGAAAACAAGATATTCTTGCAAAATTACGACATTAATTCACGTTGGGATATTTTTTAAGCTATGTTGCCGTATGTGAAGTTCTAACTTAGAGAGAGAATTACAATAGTAACTTGCCGCAAAACAAATAAACTAAATTCTGCCACACCGTCATCTTATTAGCTAGGAGATTAAAAATTTGTCAAACTAGAACTGCTATACAAATACTAGTGTTATTAAAATTATGAGATTATGAGGATATATGAGTCATCTAATAACAAAGACGGCAATATACACTTAAGGTCAAAATTTTACTATGGGTGTAGTTTTATTGTCTGTGGAGGTACATAGTTTTGTGTGGAAATCTACATTACGCATCAATTACGACGCTATTCTATATTAAATGGAGGTCAAAGTTTTGAGTTCGTAATACAACCGACATTATACTATACTGTTGAGGGATAAAAATATACATATATATTATGTCAAAAGTGGCAAACGAGCAGACGGCCTACTTGATGGGCAGTAGTGACCGTCACTCACGGACATACACAACATATTTGTCGGAGATGCATTACCAACCTTATTTTTTTAGCAATAAGGAGTGGGGCAAAGGAAATGGTAGGAAAGGGTGGGAATAAGGAAAGACAATTTTGTATAACACTTTTTTATCACTTTACACAATTAAAAATGAATATTGCCTATTTGATAGATGACTCATGTTTTCCTAGTGATAGTCTATTAATTATTATTAGTTATATCTTACCCGGCGGAGGCGAGGCTGGTTCATGTTGGTATCCGTGGTTGTAGTGTCTGTATGAAGGCAGGTCGTACCGCGGGTAGCCCAGGAAGCCTCCCTTACACAGCTCGTCCCCGGCCTCACACACCGGTGTATCACCCACCATGCCGCCGCTGTAGCCCATCGGGGTTAGCGGGCTATAACCGGAAATTAATACTGATTGTATTGAGATGTCGTTTATTGGTAGAAGGCTTTGAAATCAGTATGAAATTTATAAATATGATAAAGTAGTAGGTACCTCTCATACTTGTTACGTATGCCATTTTATTGGCATTCATTTTATTTAGTGCATATAAAGCATTGCGCTTTTCATATTAGTCGAAATTGGTAATAATATGAATAAGCGGTCTATAAGTTTTATCAAGATTATAATTAAATATTGATCAAATAAAAAATCATAGGTGTATAGAACATATTGTTTGGACCTAGTGAATCAAAAATATGATCCTACATATATATTTATGTTAGTACATTAATATAACTACTTACCTGTATGTATCTACGTTGAGAGGCGGCTGGTACTGATGCTGAGTGTGTTGCGCGGGCGCGGTCAGTGCGGGCGCGTGCGCGTGCGTCACCGGTGCGGGCGCGTGCGCGTGCGAGTGCGCGTGTGCGTGCGCGTGCGCATGCGCCGTGTAGCACTCGGGGCTGCGTCTCTGGCTGCGTATCTTCTCCTCGCGACGCCACTTCGCGCGCCGATTCGAGAACCATACCTTAAGGTCGGGTCAGGTTAACAAACCGCGCTACGCGGTCACTACTAACGTCTAATATTTTAAACAATACGTTACTATACAGTAACTTTAATATATTTTTTATTATATATTATATATTCTCATGCTACATTATCTATTTATATATCAAAGCTCCTTTTATATCTACCGTACCTGTATCCTTGCTTCAGGTAGTCCTATTTTAGCCGCGAGTCTCTCTCGCGCGAATACGTCGGGGTAGTGTGTTCTCTCGAATTCTGTAATATATTTTTTATACTTACTTATCGACGTAGATTATAGAAAACATTAATTATCATTAAAATATTTTTGCTTTAATATCTAAGTCGTATCAAATAGTTGATTAGCTCGCTCTACTAGCAGTCAATATAATTTATATCCATAATTATGTGATTATATGTGATACAGGCCACTTAAACTGTAAAATTATCAAATTTTATTTACAAAATAAACCATAAAAACGTTCACACGTGTCTCCATTACGTATATTTTCGTACATAAATTGAGCCTTATCGCCTTGAACACATAAGTACAAGTACCTAAGTATGTACATATATAGACCAAATTTCAACACATTTATAAGTATCTCTTCTTCTTCTACCTGGCAATTTCCCAGCTTTAGCCAGGGTCTGCCTTACATGTTGTGAATAATTTTTTGGCTAATTGTTTTACGAACGGCCGCCGTCCTGACGTCAACCCTCTTTTGTTAATCAGAATTAATCAGTGATTTCTAAATACTCTTAGGAAGTATATATGATTCGAAAAAATCACATTGGTACTTGCCAGGCCCAGAATCGAATTCGCGCCCTCGTGCATGAGAGGCGGGCCTTTTTAGCACTAGGCCACCACTGATTCACATTTATAAGTATCTATATAGAACATATATTTCCTAGCACCTACCTCTCTCCAAGTTATCAATCTGTTCGTTAGTGAAGCTGGTTCTGTTCCTCTGTAACTTCCTCTTCAATCTAAGTCTCGCTGCGTCTTCATCAGCCCCACTGGAACCCGCGTTAGAATTGTCTCCTGAACCAGTTTCATCTGAATGAAGAGCTTCTAAACCTTCCAGCGGTTCTTCGCCTAAACGATTATTTTGTATTAATTAATAACTATGTTATACTCAGTATAACATAAGACAAATAGTCTTCAATATATTCATTACTAGCTTGCCCCGCGGTATTACCGAAATTTCCGGGATGTAAAGTAGCCTATGTGCTGTTCGTGAGCCTCAGCTTCATGTATACAAAATTTTATCAAAATCGGTTCAGCCGTTTGAGCGTGAAGAAGTAACAAACATACACACACACCCACAAACTTTCGCAATTATAATATTAGTAGGATTGTAAATACGATTGCTTGGAATTGACGACGAATGTTGTAAAGTAGGGAAATATGGCAATACTACAAATCTCTTGGTTTCGTAACAAATGCGACAAACCGAGTTTTCTTAATAAATCAGTGTTAGCATCCGATGTTTTAATTTATAATTTATCGCGTTATCAGTGCGTATAAGTTGCGATTGCAGTTGTTAGATATTACGAGAAGAAACTTATTCGTGAAAAATAAAAATATCTGAAAATAACAGAGCTTAATTTTAAAATATCCACTTAATGTTTTTATGGATACTTTCAAATGGTGCATAAAACAAAATAAATTTTCTCTAATAATTCCGGAAAAACCCGTAAATGGCGGGACCGGGTTTGAGAGACAGATGTAATATTATATATAAATTATGTAATATTAAAGAGAGTAAGAATAATTTTATTTTAAATATTGTATTTATTTTAAAAACAAAAAAACAACAAATAAGTAGTCAGTTCGGAGGAAATTGTAAGTCAGGAAAGTGTAACATTCAATATATGAATAAAAGTATGTCGTATCCGAAAGAACTAAATCCTAAATGTAAAAACAACTAATTTTAATCAGTTTAATAATAATCTATTTTTCTTTTTATATAAGTAAATAGAAAAACCCGCGATCGTTAATAACTCGAACATTATAATTAAATAACAATTGATAACGGGATCCAATCAGAAGTTGCGTCACTTATCTTCTAAGTATTTGAAACATCGCGGAACTTACCCGCGAACTGAGCAACTCATAATTAATTCAACAAACAACCATAACGGCGGATTTATTCGACTTGAGATTTTAATCTTCGGTTACGCGATTTATCAAAAAACGCTCGGGTTTCGGTCTCGAAAACTTTTAATACGTTATTATCTGTTCAAAATGTGAAATGTTCACTTTACTTTGACAGCTATTCGGTTATAAATTGCACAGATTATGCAAAGTTATAGATTATCTGTTGGTCTAATAAAATTAGCGCCTCATTCTGATGTGAAATAATTAAAAATTTTAATTATATGACTAAGTGAAGTAGAAAAGAGTGTATTTTATTTAGAGTGAGTTATTTTGCGGCGTGTCCGCTTTCGTAATCCCGTCTAGTAGACGGGGGACGAGCGGACGCCTACTGCGACTGAAGAATCTACGTAATATATCATATACATTTATTTAATTAACACATATATTTAAAAATATATATTTTATAGAATACATTCTCACTAAATTAACAGGAGCCTAAATTAAGTCTTGATCTAATGACGTTCTTTAAAATAAAATTTTACTTAGTTTTCAAAATTATCATACTAAATATTTACTTTTAAATATCTATATCGATTAATGTCTTTATCATATATAAGCATACAATATTAAAGCGTTATAATGAACGTAGCTTCACATTATTCCTATCTAAAGTTTATTTGAAACATTTCAAGTAAACTATGTATATATGTTTTGAATAAATTATATTCAAGTGTCAAGATGCGTGGTAGAGTGGCGTGGGGGCTGCGGGGCCCGTCGGGGGCTCCGGGGGGTCTGTAACGAGGGCGTTCATGCAGAAGGGGACGATAACGGGACAGCCTACCACGTAACCCTGCCTACGATAGCGTTATCGCTTAAAAATGTATGCCCAATAATGGTGTCGTTTCCAACTCGCTTTTAAGGGCTGCTTAATCAGTTGTATTCAATTGGTTGTGTTTTTTTTTAAAGTATGTTATCGATTCAGCCAGTCCATAGACTATAAAAACATATATAACTCTAAAGAGGTTAGTTTTTAAAATGAAAAATTTATTTTTTTATTGGTATGTTATGTTCTTTCTAGATAGGAGTTACCGTAGTAGGATTCTCATATGATCGGAACGAAGTGTTTTCATGAGCGGAGTATTATACAGCTTACTCTATCCCTCATGGATGTGGCATTTAAGTGTTTTTATTGTGATATTTATATTCTACAGCATACCAACTGTAATTTAAATGGATATGAACTGCCTGGATTTATAAAAAGAATGTTTTTTTTTCCATGTTAATGAAAAGAAACTAAGTGAACTTTCGCTTTACTGACGTTATATAAAAAAAATATTAGTTATCATACAGATAAAATTTTTCAAATATTTAAAGAGTAAATACAATAACAAAACACGACATACATCACTTCTTAATTATCAGCCCACCCACAAACATCGCCGCGAATATGACACCTCAAAACGCGAGAGGAGACACTTCAATATTTACACCGTCACTACATTCACATAAAGTCCTGGGTCCTATGGCATTTTGTTTGCTAGTGGCAAATGTCATTCGGTGTATCAGCAGCCCATCTGTCAGTTGGGAAAACATTAATGTTTCATGAAGGCACCAAGATCCGTATCAGATAATAGATGTGTCTCTATTTGACGGCACCGAAATTAGTCCAGACCAAAAGGGAGCTACGGTGATTTAAAATAACATACATTAATTAATAATACTATTACCAAATAACGATAGATAAAAATATAATTATCATCTTTATTAAAAATTAAATTATACTAATTTTATTTTTATAATTTTAGTTATAATATATTCTACACGAAAAAGATGGCCGCTACGTAATAAACAACGATGTTGCCTTATCGCAAAAATGTCAGGTTGACGTTTCATTGAATCCCTGCGCGTCGTCTTGAGGGACTTGTATTCGTTATATTTATAAGTAGCTATCTATGTATATATTAATATGATTGAAGATTGATGTATGTTTTATATTTATCTTTAATATATGATATTTTGAGCAAAGTGACTGAGCCTCATATTAAAAATATATCAGTAGAAGTAATTTACGAAAACAATGAAACATGGCGTCTATTTTATAAAGGTAAAAAATATAATAAATTCACATTTAAATGAAAATCACACAAGAAAAGTGAGTCCGTATCTCTGAAAGTCTTTATAAATTCAGTATAATACATTGATATTCATCCAACGTAAGACAAATAACGTAAAAGTCACACGATTTATGAATTTCGCGATCAGCAGTGCGGTCACGGTTCAGCCATTTTGTGTGACACGGGAAGCGACCTTCGAATTATAGATATATTAACATTTATTTGGATTTCATGAAGATTATATCCCTACTAATATTATAAATGCGAAAGTAACTCTGTTTGTCTGTCTGTTACGCTTTCACGCCTAAACCACTGAACTGATTTTAATGAAATTTGGTAGAGATAGAGTTGACCTTGAGAAAGAACATAGGATAGTTTTTATCCCAGACTTTTGAAAGGTTTTCTTGGAAACGCGATATAACCGAACTCCACGCGGCTGAAGCCGCGGGCGGATGGCTAGTTTAATATATGTACAAGTTTATATATGTATATACTATATAACTGGACAGGTTCTAACGTCTAAAGATTCTAATGAGACTCAAAAGACGCCATTTGAGTTTGATCAAAAAAATACTTATTTTCACTTCTATAGATTCGAGTAATGAATTAAACTATGAAAAATAAAGTTAAAATCTTTTAATTACGTGTATTTAAATCGTAAATCTGTGTAATAAAGAAATTGTATATTTTTTTTTAATAATTTAGTTGCATTTGAAAAAGTTGCCTAAGAATGACAGGACTAATTTGATTTGTGGCTAATAAGTAAAAGTCTTTTTATACAACTAGAGGAATTTAGAAGCAAAGCCTCTACGTTATTAGTAAATATTAATGAGATTTTATTACCTATAAATTATAATTATTCGTAATTTTTTAATGTCAATAATTATAAATTCTTTTTAATTCTGGAAAAACAAATGTTTGCTAGGACATACCCTTAAACATTTAACTCGATTTTATTCAATACAATATTCCAGTTTACGACTGTGTATGGAAAACATGAGAAAAAAACGAAACTAATATGTTGCGGATATATTACGCGACTTTATTTTAGTGAAAAACTACATACTCCCGACGTTTCGGTTATTTTACAGCAACCGTGATCATTGCTTTACTGATCGTTATCACATTTTTTACATGCGTATTTAGTAGGTCTAAGAATCTCTTGGGGGTGAATTGGTGAATTGCCATAGCAGGTCCCAAATCGCCCCCAAATACGGGCAGGAAGGAACGCCGGGGAGGTGTAGTAGGTGTTCTCAGGGCCAACACCATCAGGCTCTGGGCGACCCCCACACAAGTCCCACTGTCGAGCCAAGGCAGTGGGTAGTCTGTAAGCGGATTTCTCCCCGAAAAAAAAAAAAAGTCTAAGAATCGGTTACTATTTAGGGGAGAGTTGGTTATATCGTACTAGCATTTAAATCGTACCACTTCTAAATTTCCCACTTAATGAATATTTTTTTCTACACTGACAACGTCAAATCGTGGCCCTGCACCATCCCTCTTCACCCACTAGTTTAAATCGACGTGAGTTGACAACTGTGCACGTAATAAAAGAAAAACATTTTTTGTAGGAATTACTATAAATATTGTCGTACATTCGTAAGGAGATAACTCGTAATCAAGGTAAGCTATAGTTATTAAGTTTTTTTTGTTATTCCACAATTGTATTCTATATTATTGGGGGTTTTTGTTGGGTGTCTAAGTTTTGAGTTTATGCCGGATATTTGCTTTTGTTTTAGAAATGCCTTAGTTGGTTTAATCGTACCACTTGCAGTTGGTTAAATTGTACTGGTACGATTTACCCGACTACCCACCGCAAGTACCTATAGTACTATCACAACTACGTATAGTAAGTACTACCCAAGGCCAAAAACAAAAGTTATA